CCCCCCCCCGACATGATGACGTAACTTCCAGGTGACATCCCTGCATCTGGGATGTCACCCGGCGACAACCAGTCAGCGGCGGATCAGAGCCTCTGATGTCACTTGTGAGAGGAAGAATTTTGTAAATCCCAAACCAGAATATTTGTGTGTGTGTAGGGGGGGGGGGATTTGCCTTGCACTTCTGCATCCCCACAGCTCCATCCTAAAAGGGGGAAAGTTTTCTTACCTGTGTATTCTCTTTTTCACAGGTGCCAAAGTGGAATGTTCCACCCACCTACAAAAAAGGAAAAATATAATAACTCAGTAGAAACTGGAGAAATCAGAAAGGCAAGTTTAATTGTGGGTGGGGGACTCTGAACTGCAGTTATGGGGATGACCTCTATTTTCTACAGGTACTCTCATTGCGCAGAATCTACATAACCTTAACCCAGTTCCAACTTGTTAGTCTCCCCCTTTAGGGCACAGTTTGTATCCTGTTCCAGGCTCACCAAGTCCATAGGGTAGGAAGGGCTGTCTGCCAAAGACCCAGACTCGGTGTCTAGGAACCTTGAAGCAACCCCTTCCTCTTGGTGCCACTTGTAAGATGATACTGCCAGCAAACAAGAGCAGGTACTTGGCCCTCATCTGAGACTGTTTCATACCAGCATCGATGAGGCTGGGAATTCACAAAACATAGAAGATGTCCTCTCTCCATCATTCTGGAGATGGAACAAAATGAACAGACTGTGTTGCTACATAATTGCCTGTATAGATTTTTTATGAGCCAATATCAATATAGATAACATTCATTTTGGAACCACAGTTCTAGTTTAAATGCAGATAAATATTGGGACTAAAAGTTTCTCATAATGAAGTATGCTTACTATTTCTACAGTTTGTTGAAGGACAGGCTGGACGACAGGCAGTGTGGATGACTGGCTGGGCTCAGCAACTGTGATATCATGATTGCTCTCCACGTTCTGTACAAGCTGCTGAAAAATAGAGCCACAATTTTAAGTTTGGTTACTAATCTATCTTCTTCCATATTCTGGTCAGTTTTTGCTTTTAGCACAAATTAAAGGCTCCAACTGCTAAACCCATAAACTTTTGGTGTAAGTGTTTTACTTCAAGGTTAAAGTAGCCTGCAGGTTTTAGCTGGCATACACCTAATTGGTCTAGATGCCACAATGGATAAGAGCACTGTGACTATGCCATGATTTCAGGTTAAGTCCTCTTAGGGCTCCAGATAAAGGACCCCTTTAAAAATCATGTTTAGAAATTGGAAGTGCCCCCTTTAAAAATACACTTATATAGAAACAAACACCTATGTAATCAAAAGAACATGCTTTTGTGTGAGTGGAATTAGGGTTAGACTGCATACAAACAGATGATGCCCACTACCCTCTAGACAGGAGACACTAATCCTGGGATGGCTCTGGACAAGAGAACACACAAAGCCTGTCACCAGGTTTCTCCATTTGGTCTACAGACCACAGATATATCTATTTCTCCGAGAACAAAGCAGGTCTTCTGGATAATATGCTCACCCTCCTACTCTCCCTCTTAGCCAAAGCCATCCAATTTTTACACAAAACATTTTATATCAAGTTATTTACTACGTTAATGCTAAATTAATAGTATTTCTTCGGCAATGGAATTTCAATTTTTTAAAAATTTACTAGATTTTAAAAAATCAGAGACTTGCATATGAGGTACAGCTGAAGATAAGCAGACAAAGTTTTTGATCAACCCAATGTGTAGCCTCCAAATACACAGCAATGTAACTTTTGAAAGATTTCTAAATCATGGTTCCATACCCAATTAGCAGAAAGAGTGAAATAAAATTAAAAACTTACATTATTGGCAGAGAATTCAGCAGACGAATCTACAGGAGTTTCTATTACATGTTCTGTATCTATTGACATAGGCAAAGGATAGCTGGAGATAAAAGATCCTTCTTCAAATTCAGTTTGATTTTCACTCAAGTCCAGCTAACAAAAAATAATACGTACTGCATCAGCAAAAATACCGTTTCTCCTTTTCTACGAAAGATCACATTTTATTTCAAATGGGAATCACTCTATTCTGACAGATTTTACTGTATATACACATGTACTCCCCAACCCAATTCTAGGCAAAGATGCTATTTGTGGAGGACTACTTGTGCTAGAATGTGATTGGGACACACAACTTTGAGTTCTAGCCCCATTCGAAACAATGGTGTGTTGATAGGCACCAATAACTCAGGTGGGCAATCCAGTTCAGGTCCTCACACCTGAGTGATATGTAAAAGCCTGCTTCCACATATATTCCTACCTCCACAGCAGAGTCGGAGCAACTTTTTTAGAATTATAATAAGTATTACATTGATTCATTCTTTATTGGCTTATATTTTTTTAAAAAAACTGAAAAGGTTGGAGAACAGCGATATCATTATTCAGTTCCTTGCCACATATAAGACTACAGACCAGTGATTCCCATTCACCATTCACATGTGGCTCTTTGACATGCTGTCTGTGGCTCTTTGAAGCCCCAGTCCTCAATGTGGTACTCACCCCATGATCTAGGAAACTGGGAAAGGCCATTCCCAATGGGAATTCTGGTTAGCAGGTGATTCCCACACTGAAAAGTTGCTCCTGGAAAGACTGGAGGATGGGTACGTTGCTAAACTTTCCTGAGCTGTGGGCCTCATGCCAGGGATGGAAGTAAAGGGCCAATCCCCTCCAACAGCCACCCACCCACAGCAGATTGGGCAGTGTGCAGGGTGTGCAGCAGTCATGCAACTGTTTTGGCTGATGGTAAACTGCAAATGTGTCTCTCTGCAAAACAAAGTTTGAGTCCAGTGGCACCTTTAAGACCAAAAGGCTCAAAAGTGAAAGCTTTTGTGTGCATGCACACTTCTTCAGATACATTATCTGAAGAAGCATGTGTGATCATGAAAGCTTATAGACTCTGCTTCAGACCAACATGGCTACCAACCTAAATCTCTCCACAAAACAGTGAGTGAGTACCACTGAAATCTTTGTTTTGGACACTAACCCATTCCCTTACGTTGATCCACAGCAATATTTGAGATGTACCCTAACAAACACTTCACCGCAGAGGCTAAATTCACAAGCTCACTACATTTCTACATGGTGTCTGCACACTTTAATAGACCCTATGCTACTTTCCCAATAAAAACCTAATAACTATGTATCATGTACTTAAAAGACAAGATGCTGTATAAGGACGTTCCTCCCTGCACAGACTAGACTGACAGCTTAATCAGCTACAACACATGAAAATAATGAGGCATGGAAAAGGAACAAAAAATACAGCTTTTCAAAACATATTACCTCTTCTTTCTGGAGCTCCGACTCATGCGATTCCTGATTTTTTTCCAGTAAGGGTAATATACTGGAACTGTATGTCTCCCACCAGAGTTCAAGAAAGGAACGCTGACTTTCAGATACTGATGCCGAGCCATTCTCTAAAACAGTTTTTGTCTGAAGATTGTATCTGTAGCTCCATGGCTTTGCTGATCCCAAGAAATGGACTACCTTTGCATCTTTGCCAAAACTGTGATGAGAATACAAGGTTTGGGTTTTTTAAAAGTTATTTTAGGCTCATACGAAGTACCATTTTTAAATGCTGAGCAGCCTGAATAACACAGCTTAACCTGGGCTCATCAGACCTTAGAAGCTAAGCAGGGTCTGCCAGGGTTAGTATTTGGAATGGGAGATCACCAAGGAGACCAGGATTGTTATGCAGAGGAAGCCAATTGCAAATTACCTCCGCTCATCTCTTGCCCTTAAAACCCCATAAGGGGTTGCTATAAGTCAGTTGGGACTTGAAGGCACTTAATTAATTATTATTAAAATGCTGGTGCAAAATGTTCCATCCATGCCATGGCATCCCAAAACACCAGGGCATGAGCCAACCGATGCATGTAGGGTAGAGCACCAAGTGTCATCCAGGGGATGGAACTGTCATGCCCACTTTGTTGGCTATGCATGTTTGGGCTACCTGGACTGCCACCACAGACTACTGCGACCATTCACCCAGTGTATTTTTATACTTACTATCGGAACGCAGGGGCATATGTGTAGACAGCATTGCTGCTCAGGTTATAGAGAAATGGCAAGTGTTTGCTAATATCCGTTGTCGCCCAGTCACTGAAAAACCTGTTTAACAGTCCCTGATCGCCTCCTAAAGAATTGAAAACAAGAGTGTGCAAACTCTAACATAGGCTAAAGTTAATGGTTCAAAGTCAAATTTACTCATGTCAACAGAACAACAAACCTGCCCCAAAGTTCCCACCTGGAGAAGATGCACATTTCAAAACAGGGCCCAAAGATCTCTGCTCTCCGATAATCCAACAACTTACAGCAACACCACATTTTGTATGGCCACCTTTTCCCTACCTGTTTTCCTCCCTTCCTCTTACCTGAAGTTAGACCATTGGTCTATCAGGTTCACTACAGCATCCATGACCAGCAGTAGCTCTCTAAGGTCTCAGGTAGAGAGGTATTTTACATCATCTACTACCTGATCCTTTTAACTGCTAGAGACTGAACAAGGGACATGCAGCGTCTGGAATAAGTGCTCTACGACTATGCCACGGCATCATTTTGAAAACATCATATGGAGATGCCCTGGGAATCACAAGGCTCATATACCTTACAGCTGTGATTGTACCACACAGCAACCTCACACCTCCATACAGCCAAGTTCCACTAAATTTAAATACCAAATAAAAAATAAAGGATGCTATCCAGCTCAGTTGCCATAAGTTGAGAAATCAGGTCATTAATGTACAATCTAGTCCAAAGAGTTTTCCCCAGGAAGTTTCACATACAAATTAAGCACCTTTTGTCACTTGGCTGCTGGCAAAAAACCCAGCAAGGTGAAGCAATACAATCAAGCTAGACTGTTGGACCCGTGATAGGGTTTCAAGTGTGTGCATGATGCACCTTGAGAAATTCACAGGCTATTCAGCATGACAGTTGTGGGTAATTTAGGGCTGTGCATTGTAGTACAGTCATGTCAGGACTCGTAGAGATGTAAAATTTCCAGAAATTTTGAAGCTCGGAAAAAACCCCGTTTTTTTCCCGTTTTTTCCGGAAAAACGGAAATTTTCGGAAAAATTGAAAAAAATGCTACATTAGCATTTCTTCTGTCTTTTTTAGATTGAAAGTCATTCTATTACTTTAGGAACATAAAAAATGACTATGGACATTTTTACTTGGCATGAAATTATCACAACTAGCATATTAAAAATATAGTGTACCCAAACAATTATTACAAACAGAATACCCACCCACATGCAAAAACAAAACTGAAACCTTTTTATTTTCTTCTGACAATCGCACCTCCTAAAGGAAGAAATGCATCTTGTTCTTGCATTGGAGAGTTCAGTTTGTAACCTAGGACTTGCTTGTCCTCAGTGCACAGAAATTAGATCAATCTGATACCATTATATATTTTAGAAATGATTTGGAAAATATTTGAACACCTTGTCTTAAAATATTTTATTTATCATGTTAAAATAAAACATTCCATAATCAATTTCTTTTCTTTTCTTTTTTCAATTTTTCCAATTTTTCGGAAAACAAACAAAAAAGCTTCAGGGGAAAAAACGGGTTTTTTTCCGAATTTTTCCAGTTTTTTTCCGGGCCTTCACATCAGGAGTCCCATCCAGCCCCGTCATGTCACAGCCCCATCCAGATATATTTCATTGTCTAAAACTCATACCAAACTATGAGCATTTTCACACTGATGGTATATAGTAGGGATGGTTGTAAGTGGTACGTAAATTTCAAACAAGAAATTTTCCAACAAAATTTACCAGTTGCCGTTAAAATAAATACAAATATTTGGAGATTTTTTCCCCTCACTAAATGTACAAAGATAGCAAACTAAGTCGTATTTGAACAAACAGCAGATGTCTTGCTATATTTGGAATGAGACACATCAAAACGAGAGCAGGAATAAAGGATATTCGAGAAAAATGAAAGAACATGTTTAAGCATCTGTTGAAACCCCCATTAACACATGACCATTCCAGGGTTTGGGGGCACTTGGCAGGACACTGCCAATGGGTGCCCCTCCTGGCTGATGGAAGCAACTCCCCACTTCATGGGCTTGGCTCCAGAAGGTAATGCCTCCCACAGAAGCCATTTTGTGGGGGCACCTGTTCCCAACATTCCAAAAGTTCCCTCAGGTTCAGCAAGATTGGAAGGCCCTGTATTCAATGTTGAAAGGGCAGCAGTGGAGCTGTACACGTAAGTGGCCATTTTTTTAAAAAAAGGCAGCTAATTGTTTTATTTTTGTACAGCCTAGTTCCGCAACAGTATCTGCGGGTAAATTTCCTATGGTACTGTCAATATTCCGAAGTTAACATCCCGCAATGCACTTCACAACACAAACCTTAACTTTAACAAGGAGCAGGTCGGATAACGCTTACCATCAAAGCTACCACACTCATTCGCGAACTGCAGGAGGAGGTTGAAGGTTTCTAAAGAAGGACGGAAAACAAAGACGCCGCTGTTAAAGCAGTCTGGCCAGCCAGAATCAGGAGCAGCTGAGAGTTCTTCCCGATCAAACAGCTCATCAACATTGCACAGTACCTATGGTGGACATGAGAAATTTGATTTACAAGACCCTGACCTGGGTGGCCCAGGCTAGCCTGATCTCATCAGATCTCAGAAACTAAGCAGGATTGGCCCTGGTTAACACTTGGATAGTACCAAGGGTTGGTATACAAAGGCAGGCAATGGCAAACCACCTCTGAACATCTCTTGCCTTAAAAACCCTACGGGATCACCATAAGTCAGCTGCAGTGATGGCACTTTCCACCACCACGGAGGACATGAGAAACATGTGCCGATGGGATACATTTTCATTCAAGCTGCTCAACCACTGAAGTTTTACTACTTTCTGTCTCAGTTACAGATCAGAACATTCTTTGGATGAGCAATTTCTACAGCTACTTTTTGTACTGTACTCCTCAGTTAATAGTTAAAATTTGTTCCTATGGCGGGGGGGGGGGCTTGTTCACTAAGATGTCATAAAGTTCCCTCTAAGCTGTGCTAGGCGGCGCTGGCACACAACATTTTAGCTGGCATGGCAGGGAACTTAGCTGGCAGCGTAGACTACAAGTGAACTGAGAAGGTATTTTTCCTTTCCTTGGAAACACTGGAGGATGGGGCACCTCCTTCTGGGGCTCATAGAACTGGACCAGTCCAATCTTTTTGAAACTTGGGGGGTGGAGGGTTGAGGAGAGGTACCAGCAGCTATGCTGTAGATTTGGTGTCTCTACCTCAAAAAACAGGGGGCCCCCAGGACCAGATACCCCCAGATTGATTCTCTATTATAACCTATGGGGCCCATTGACTACAATGGTCCCCATAGGCTATAACGGAGCCGGGGGGAAATCAGGGTGGTGGGGTTTTTTTGCACACCCGATTATGCTTTTCAGTATGATTTGTAAGCTGCCTTGAGTCACAAGAAAAACTAAGATATAAATATTTGAATAAATAAGTAGTTTGGGCAGATTGATAACATTTAAGCAACTTCCTGTTTATGTTAGGAAGGGTTCTGACAGTGATTGTTCTACCTCTACTTGACCTGTAATGCTGGTTGTCATATTTCACTAAAAAAACACTGCAAGAGTCGTCGTCCCCCCGTCCCCCCCCCAGGTGCTGGTATGTTTTCTAAGGCTCAGTGCAGGGCGACAGTCTGAGGCCAGGTCTACCAATATAGTGGACTGGGGCAGAGAGACCTGTTCTCCAGAGGCCAGATTTACCAATATAGTGGGAAAGGGTGGGTACAGCTGTTCTCCGGAGGCCAGGTCTACCAATATAGTGGAAAGGGGTGGGTAGACCTGTTCTCTGGAGGCTTGGACTACCCCCATTGAGGACAATATTTTCTGTAATGAAATTTGACTTGATTCTGTTTTCTCTTATAATGTTTAAATTATTCTTAAAATATAGCCTAAATATAGTTCAAAAGAATGAGACTTTTACAAAGTTATGGAAATAATCTTCCAAAAAGATAGTCAAATGTAGACTCGCTCACAAGTTTAATGCTACTAGCTTTTTTCAGTCATAAGGAAGAATTTCTGCTCACAACACTGTGGAGCTTAGGGGGAACACTGATACCCGAGCAGTGGGAACACTGCATGAAATGACTTCTCTAACATTACCGCAAGTCCCACGACAATCAACAAACTATGCCTGCAAAACTTGGAACATGTTCCAAGGTTTGCAGGCATAGTTTGTTGATTGTTACAAAAACTGATCAATTAGGCCAAACCTCCATAAGCTTTCTGGCATCACCGTTCTTACCAAAGTGTCTGCGTCCATGAAGACACATTTGCTATATTGAGTAAGTGTCCAGCAATGAAGCTTGGTAAAGGTTACACCCAGTTCTGGCCTATTCAGCAGAGCCAAGCACACCGCATCTTTACTATCGATTTCATCCACATCAACCACAGAATCAAATATGTTGCTGAGGACAGCTCTGGAAAAACACAAGATAGGGAGCCTTTAGTGGTCTTCTCTTATCGTTAACAAAGTCTATAATATTTAAAACTTCAGCAGCTGGAATTAGTAATGTGTCATTCATTTGAAAGGTGTAGAAAAAGCACAAGGGAAGTAAACAGTGAGAAAAGCTTGATTTCCTCAGAGAGAGAACTTCCTATATACATTGATAATCCACATAACTGATCATCCATCATGAGAATTTCTTAGACTCATTTAACTTCAAATAGTCTATTCAACAGTGACAGCACGCTGAGCTGGAGAGTATCACAGGGGTTGTTCTGTAGTAGATGCCTGACGTGTGAGAAGGACATAAGGCAACCCTGCTGGACCAGAAGAAAGGTTTGTCTAGTGCAGTTTCCAACAGCAGTCAACCAGATGCCCATGGTAGTATGTAGACTCTGTGCCACTGTTAAAGCCCTAGTTATTCAGATGTATACTCCCTTCGGATGTCTAGTAGCCATAAGAACATAAGAGAAGCCAATGTGGGATCAGGTCAATGGCCCAGTCCAACACTCTGTCACACAGTGTCCAAAAATACCAGGTGCCATCAGGAGGTCCACCAGTGGGGCCAGGACACTAGAAGCCCTCCCACTGTTGCTCCCCCCCCAATACCAATAATACAGAGCATTACTTGCCCCAGACGGAGAGTTCCTATCCATACCATGTGGCTAATAGCCACTGACGGACCTCTGCTCCATATGTTTATCCAACTCCCTCTTGAAGTTGTCCATGCTTGTAGCTGCCACCACCTCCTGTGGCAGTGAATGCCATGTGTTAATCACTCTTTGGGTGAAGAAATACTTCCTTTTATCCATTCTAACCCAACTGCTCAGCAATTTCATTGCGTGCCCACGAGTTCTTGTATTGTGAGAAAGGGAGAAAAGCACTTTTTTCTTCAACTGCTCTATCCCATGCATAATTCTGTAAACCTCTATCATGTCACCCTTCAGTCGTCCCAAGCTAAAGAGCCTCAAGCGCTTTAACCTTTCTTCATAGGGAAAGTCTTCCAGCCTTTTCACCATTCTAGTTGCCCTTTTCTGCACTTTTTCCAATGGTATAATATATTTTCTAGGGTGTGGTGACCAGAATTGCACACAGTATTCCAAATGAGGTTGCACCATTGATTTATACAGGGGCGTTATGATACTGGCTGATTTGTTTTCAATTCCCTTCCTAATAATCCCAAGCATAGTGTTGGCCTTTTTTACTGCAGTCGCACACTGTCTTGACATTTTCAATGAGTTATCTACTATGATTCCAAGATCTCTCTCTTAGTCAGTCCCTGCCAGTTCAAGCTGAAACAGGAATATACAAAACCTACTATAGTATAGAGAGGTTAAAAGTAAAGGTTTCCCTCGCTCGAAAGCTAGTCAAATCCGACTCTAAGGGGCAGTGCTAATTTCAGTTTCCAAGCTGAAGAGCCAGCGCTGTCCAAAGACATTTCCGTGATCATGTGGCCGGCATGACTAAACGCTGAGGCGCACGGAACGATGTTACCTTCCCACCAAAGCAGTACCTATTTATCTACTTGCAATTTCTTGCGTTCAAACTGCTAGGTTGGCAGGAAGTGGGGCCAGAGACTGGAGCTCACTCTACATGCGGCACTATGGTCTCAAACTGCCGAACTACAGACCTTCATGTCTGCAGCTCAGCATCTTAACCTCTGAGCCACTCCATGAGAATCTGGAAATCACTGCTGAGATTCAAACACTTTCCAGTGGTGTTCTGCAGTTCATGCAGCTATGAAGGTACATTGGCCTCTGCTCAGTTCCAGCACAAGAAGCAGTTACAAGTACAGGGTCACAAGTGGAAGGATACCTTTACAAGAGAGTTAAACCAAGCTTGCAACAAGAAAGAAAATAATCCATTCAGCCACACGCTATTTAATTACCCTGACTAGCTGGGAATTACAATATCAATTCAATATGCTGTAAGCTGTTATTTTGCAATCATGTAATTGCATAATTCCCATTTCTACTTCATTGCTATCATGTTAATTGCATCTGGGAATCTGGTTTTACCTCATTACTCTGGAGACTTGGGGTGTGATTAGTATTGCCAGCATTCTGGATGTCCTGTGGTTCCTCAAGGACTGCCCAAGAACCAGAGCTCCATGGCAGTAAGCATCATTGGTACCAAGGGTCACAAAGGCCTGGTCAGTCACTGCAAACAAACATCCAGAACAATCATCTAAATGCAATGCAAAGAGGGTTAACTGGGCATCTTCTTACTAGGGGTGCACAAGAGCAAAAAATTCAGTTGACTTCGGATTTGGGTACTTCTGACCTTGAAAATATTCAGTATTCCAGAATGTTCCCTAATACCAGTATCAATATTGTGCTGGTATTCGGGTTAATACTCGGGAAACCTGAAAATATTCAGCTCCATTACACCCTATGGGCAGCGCCATCCCCATAGGGTATAATGGAGAAGGAATTTAAAGTTTAAATCCCTGCTGGGTTGACTCATCTCGCACCAGTACTGCAGCACGACTCAGCAACTCAACCCAGCAAGCCTCTAAAGTTTAAATCCCTGCTAGGAGAGCTTCTTCTGAGGGATGGTTTAAACTGCCCCGCAGAGGAAGCTGGCCCCAGGATCTGCATGCATGGGGATGGCTCTCTCTCTCCCTGACATGGTAGGCTCCTCAAACAGCAGACGTGTATGAATGTAGACATCGAGAAACAGAGTAAAGTAAAGGTAAAGGTTCCCTTGCTCGAAAGCCAGTCGAGTCCGACTCTAGGGTTGCGGTGCTCATCTCCGTTTCAAAGCCGAAGAGCCAGCGCTGTCTGAAGACATTTCCGTGGTCATGTGGCCAGCATGACTAAACACCAAGGCACACGGAACGCTGTTACCTTCCCACCGAAGTGGTACCTATTTATCTACTTGCAATTTCTTGCTTTTGAACTGCTAGGTTGGCAGGAGCTGGAACTAGAGACGGGAGCTCACTCCGTCATGCAGCACACTCGGGTCTCGAACTGCTGAACTACCGATCTTCCACAGCCTACAGTTCAGCGTCTTAACCACTTGAGCCACCGCAGCGTGAGTTAATTCTTAAGAAAATGAACCAATTGTCTCTGTCTACAATTCAGTACAATAGTAATAATGCTACACCATTTTGGTAATATGTTCCAAGAACCTGGGCCTGAGACAGCAGTGGACACATCACACCCAATGCCAAGCCAATCACCCTGTCCAAGCAAGTCTTGGGCCTGAGCTGTAAAGAAAAGAATTATCTACAGATGGAGGACGCGTGTGCCATCAAGTCACAGCCGACTTCTGGCAACCCCAGAGGGTTTCCAAGGCAAGAAATGTTCAGAGGTGGCTTGCCATCGCCTGTCTCGGCATTGCCACTAGGGTTGCCATGTCCGCCCTGGCCATTGGCAGGGGATGGGGGCACAGGGTTGCCATATTCAGGTTGGGAAACTCCTGGAGATTTGAGGGTGGAACTTAGGGAGGACAGAGACCTCAGTGGGGTGCAATGCTATAGAGTCCACCCTCCAAGGCAGCGATTTTCTCCAGGGGGATAGATATCTGTGGTCTGGAGATGAGCTGTAATGCCAGGGGATCCCCAGGTCCCACCTGGAGGCTGGCAACCCTAATTGTGACCCTGACTTCCTTGGTGGTGGCTCATCCAAGTACTATTAACCAGGGCCAACCCTGCCTAGCTTCCGTGATCCGATGAGATCAGGCTAGCTTGGTCTATCCAGGTCAGGGCGTATATATGGTGCCAAACACCCAACAGAATGCAGAAAATATACAGAAAATGTATTAATGTCTGCTTGAGATGTAAGACAAGCCTGGGTGCTTTTAAAAAACACTTTTGGTGGACCTGTGAAAAAGTGAAATTTTACTGGAGAAGAGTAATTTCTTTTATTCAGTTAATTACATGGTACAGAACTTCTGTGAACCCACAGGTCGTTCTCTTGGGGTACCTGTCCTGAAATGAGGGATAAAAAAAGGAGCACAGGTTTTTAGTTATGATAACGTTTGCTTCTGCAAGAATAGTCTTGGACAGATTTGGGAAGCAGGTATACAAACTCCATCAGCACCTGAATGGAAAATGAAATAATGGAATGTTGTCATAATTCATAAAAGCACAGCTATAAAATGGTTCTGACATCTCTGAGTTTTAACAAAAAAAAATCCTTGTAACGGGCAAAAGTAAACCACAACCACTAAAAAAAGAACGAATTCATGCTCAGGCTATGTTTGTACCAAGTAATAGGCATACATCCCACTTGCTCAACTGTCCTCAGTATAATGAAAATTATACCTTGCATATAAAAAAAAATTTTTCTACAGAAAAAATTCTACATTCTACAGGAAATTTTTTTAAAGAGAACAGGAGGAGGGTGGAAAATCCACTTACCAGGCATCTTTTATCCTGTAGACAAAGAGAGGGGTTAGCCCTGAAGAGGGGGAGGGAGAAATTCCTCCGTGCTCCTGACTTGCTTCTAACAGGCCCGACTGAGTCAACAAATCAGTAGATGGGATTTGCCTCCTTCTTTCGTACAGAAGGCGATTAGGTGAATTATACTGGACATGCACACATTCTCCAGGTCTCCTGATTGAAGGCTGGGCAGCTCATCTACGAGTCACTTAAAACTTCCTTGAGGGGGTGATGCTGTAGGAAGAAACAAAAAAGATACCTGATTATTTATTCTTCATGCCCCACCACCTTTTACTTTAGAATAACTGGGGGAGGGGATCCTAACAATTCCATGTAAATCCTTTGCAAAACAAAGCATGCGTGTAACACACACACACACACACTCCTCCCTGCCATCCCCTTTCACCAGCAAATTGAGTCCAACAAGTAGTTTCATGTTCCCTTCTTCCGATTCCCTAGCAAACCATTAACCGTTTCATCGCGCACGCTGCTTTTACGCCTGTCGGATACGGCACTGTTTGCTAACATATTTGCAACAGAAAAGGCGGGGAGGCTGCCAGTGGGAAAAGGAGCTACTAGCGACATTGACACGTTAGAGTCAAAGTTAGCATCGATCAAGCGATTCAGAGACAGGGGGATATTAAGAATGAACAGGAATAGTAGTCTCCACATTTTTTTCCTTCTGTAGGGGTTGTATCACCCTTCTTTTGCTCATGTTCATGCACCCCCTTCTTCTTTTCATGCTTAGAGTGTTCCTGTCCCTTGTCAACCCTGCAATGCAGCTTCCACCGCGAGGGCAACAGGACGCTATTTTCCCGCTTGCTTCCCCCACCGCCCCACCCTTACAAACCATGCAAGCACTTTATGACGGCAGCCGCGGTCGGAGGCCACGCCGAGCTGCGCCCTCCATAGGTCCTCCGTCCACCCTTCAGGCTCCACATGCAGCTCAATCACAGATTCGCTTCTATAGAGCAGCCGCCGCCGCCGCCGCCGCCGCCAGCCGAGAGGGCTAAACTCAACCTTGGAGGCGCGCGTCCTGAGAGGGGGCGAGGCTGCCAGCTCATTGGCCCGGACGCGGCCCCTCCTTCGCCAGCTCTCCCAGCGAGGACGGCAACGGCGCTAGAGACGCCTTTACATTCCAGGCGCTGCGGGCTGGCAGGCTCGTGTGTGGCTGCAGGGAGGGAGGCAGTCTCGAAGAAATCGAGTCCTGGTAGCACACTTCCAGGGGGAGGAAGTACGCTGCGATGAACAGGTCGCGCTTATTTCACTTCGTTCCTACCGCAAGGTGTTAAAGGAGGCATCCGCAATGGGCAATCGCAGATGGCTGAGGGGAGGTTTGAACCCATGCAGTGGCAATTTATAACGCCTTTCTCACGACCAGACGGCACTCTGTTCGTGTAGCTTCCAGAACTGAATCCCAGTCTGGTAGAGCCTGAGTCCTGCTGCATTTTAAAACTGTGGAAGGAACTGTGGAAGCTCTTCATTCTGCTGAATTTTCAGTCGCAAATGGCTTGCTTTAGTTGAAATCTCCCAGCCCCTTGATATCCAGAATACAATTTTTTGGCATACGCTTCTGTTGCATCAGTTCACCCCTCCCAAGAGTTCTATTGAGCTTTCATGGTTTCAATTTTCCCCTATTTTTCTCTGTTTATGTCCAAAATATTTCCACAGTCCAAATGCTGATGTGAAAGCTAGGAGATTCTCGGGAGAGGGTTGACTGGTAGTGGAAAGGAGATGCAAAGACAGGACAGCCAAGGAAAAATAAGTTGGCTGTAGTTAGACAGCAACTTACAAGGATGTATCAGATAATCAGCCACCATGACTATGCTACCAGCTTGGTGAACTTGTAGAATGGACCATTGGCCCTGGTTCACTTTACACCCTGCCTCTTCACATTTAAACCACTACCATTCACTGAGTATGCAATATTATCAGATGCCCTTCAACACATAAAAAATTAGGTCATAAGCACAGCATGCCAGCCAAGACAACTTTATTTATAAAGCTATTTTTATTATACATGTATATCATACAAGACCTCAGGCATACATTTGATGAAACCCTTGTTGCCTGGTGGCCATCAGCCAAATTCTTAATGTTAGGCTGATGCCAATTTGCTGAAAGGGCCTGAAGGAGCAATCTAGGACTTCATCCTCTGGGCAGGCTGAGCTGTGTAAACCCCACCCCTTTGTGGCTGTCAGACGCTATTGTGACTGCAAAAAGAGGCTGGTGGGATCTCCAAGGCCCCCCTCCAAAGTTCTAAGTGCCTCCCAAGATTTGTAGATTGCTCTCTGAGGGAGACATATGATTCTTTTAAGAAACGCTGCTCTTACAGCAAATATCAGGTGTGGTATTTTAATGGTTATAACTGCATTGTTTTATGTTTGTACATCCCACCTCCAAATGGCAAGTGGTCTCAGGGCAGTGATACGTGGGCTGTGTTTCCTATGGATGTGAGAGCAATGGAGTTGTTTTTGAAATACAGCAAAGATCAAGTGGCCCTCCTGAGCATTAAGGAGGCCTGGCTGGTAACGACTAGGGCCAGGGCTTTTTTGGTGGAGGCTGCACTCTGGTGGAATGAGCTCCCAGAGGAGATCAGGGCCCTGAGGGACCTGTTACAGTTCTGCAGGGCCTGTAAAACGGACCTGTAAAACAGAGCTCTTCCGCCAGGCCTTTGGAGCCACCACCACTACTACTACCACCACAACCACCATTGCTATCAGTGATGACAATTGACACCTTGTGGTGGAAGTGCCCTGATCTGCTGGACCCTTTAATTTCTGCCCCAGCCAATCCCCCCCCCATGACATCTGAAGCACCTTCTCATGACATCTGAAGCTGAATGGAGCTGAAGTTATAATGTCTAGCACTTTATTATTTATTATTATATATGGCTTTAACATTGTATTTTAATATTGTATTTATATTAATTGCTGTTGTGTTTCTATGTATCGTTGAATTTTATCTGTTGTAAGCTGCCCTGAGCGAGCCAGGCCGGGAGAGTGGGGTAAAAGTCTAAATAAATAAATAAATAAATAGTTGCTTTACTTACAAAGATACAAATGAAGCACAGGCACCCTGACAAAGCAACAGATCTGCTACCCTGCATCAGATTCCCTGAGAGAGACCCTGCCCTACAAGGTTATTCACTTTCAGGCAACTCCATCTTCTACCATCTGTTTATCTCTATGTGCTGCAGTCACACACTGAATAATCCACTTTCAATCTTTCAGTGCACTTTCCAACTGGATTTTCCCAGTTCACACAGTAAAATCCAGTTGGAAAGTGCACTGAAAGTAGAGTGAAAGTATGTGTGACTGCAACCTGTGTGTTCCAAACTGTCCTTTCTTTAGTCTCTCTCACACTTTTTGCTGGGGGGGGAGAGGTGGGAGGGCTTCTGGTGTCCTGGCCCCACTGGTGGACCTCCTGGTGGCACCTGGTATTTTTGGCCACTGTGTGACGCAAAGTGTTTGACTGAATGGGCCATTGGCCTGATCCAACATTGGCTTCTCTTATGTTCTTATGTACACACATTTCCAGACTCTCAGTTCAGGGTGGGGGTTACCTTCTCAAAGCTCTGGTAGGTCCTTGAGCTCAACAGTGAAATGTAGATCATGATCTGGTAATTAACTCCTACTGAGAAAGTCCAAGTACAGTGTATACTTGATTATTCTTTGCATCCTATATATATAATTCCCTTATGTATTGGCCATTTCCAGCTCTCCCACTGGCTGTGCTGTGCGCTCCATCAGTCATTGCCCCATCAACTGCCACTTGAGTACTTGCATGCCATTGGCTGGGTGCTCTCCCCTGCCCACTGCCAGCTTGGCCACTTTCCTGTCAGAATAAACTGAGAAAATGGCTGTCACTCCTGCTTGGCTCTGCCATGGCTGGCTGGTTACTGAAGTGGGCCAGCGGCTATCAAACCATTCTCTCCAACCTCCTGCTGTGTGGCTGACTTTCTCCTAGGGTTGCCAAACTTCAGGTGGGACTTGGAGATATCCCACTGTTACAGTTGCTCTCCAGATGACAGAGATCAGTTCCCATGGAGAAAATGGCTGCTTTGGAGGGTAGACCCTATGGCATTATACCCTGCTGAGTCCTTCCACTCCCCAAATGCAGCCCTCCACAGAATCCACCCCCCAAAAAATCTCCAGGTATTTCCCTACTCAGAGCTGTCAACCTTACTTTCCTCTCAGTGCCTTTTGCTAGGCAACCAAGCTTGGTTCTCTCAATAAAAGGTGGGGGGAGGACACCCTTTCAATGCCTATTTTGGCCTTTGGGAGAAAACTCATTGGGACCACTGCTGACTAGGGTTGCCACCTCCGGGTTAGGAAATTTTGTGGTGGAGTCTACAGAAACTAGAGTTTAGAGAGGGGATGGTTGGCTGGGAAGGAGATAGGATTGCCAATTCCAGGTTGGGAAATTCCTGGAGATTTGAGGGGTGGAGCCTGGACAGTGTGGGGTTTGAGGAGAGGTGGGACCTCAGACAGTTACAATGCCATAGACTCTATCCTCCAAACCAGCCATTTCCTCCTGGGGAACCATTGTTGCCAATCTCCAGGAAAGGGCTGGAGATCACTCAGAATTACAACTGATCTTCAAATGGCAGAGATCAGTTCCCCTGGAGAAAACGGTAAGCTCTGTGTCATTATACCCTGCTGATGTCACCACAGCAAAATGACGCTGAGTGCCCAAGGCCAGGGCACCCGCTCAAAGCCCCTTTCTAGAACTCATTGTATTTATTTCCACAATGGGCCTTATTCCTAGTGTTGAATAATTCTCATGTTACAGGCAAACATGTACAGCTGAATGTGTGATACAAACCACACATGTATCCAGGTACTAGCCCCCAGTTTCATTTGTGAGGTAAACATGCAGTAGCCCTTTCTTACAAACAGATGTATGTACATTCACTGTAACATGTGAACAGGGCTATATACAACAGTAAAAAAACATTAGAATTTTAGGCTTTGATTTCCACCAGGTGTCTTTAAAATACAGTGACATTCATACTAATCAGGCAGCAAATTTACAACACTATTTTTATCCGAAAGGCAAAGAACTGCAATTATACATAGCTCCAATATCATAAAAAGCATATAAACATCTTTGTCATCTTATCTAAATCACAGGTAAGATAAACTAAGAGAAGACATTGGGTGATTCCACATGGAGGGGATTTTCCAGGGCAACCAGGTTGCCAGTTGGTTCAGTCATGCTTACAGCTGAGATTCCAAACAGCATAGGCTAATGCAGTCCCCCCCCCCCCCCATTATTAGCTATGGCTTCCTTTCATACAAGATGCAGATCACATCTGTTATCTGGGGCTATAGTCATACTGTCATGATTCTTCGCCCCTGTAGAATAGCACAATACTACAAATATTTTTTTAATGGGAGGGGGATCTCAGAAGAGTTCGATGCTAGAAGGCACACATACCTATGCACTGCTGTACATGGTTGCCCATGTGTCTCAACCTGCACCAGAAAAGTGAGATTTATGTTTTGTATTGTTGCAGTTGAAGAGCAGTGCTAAGGCTTTGCCCTGTACAGCCTTGTATTGTGTTGTTGTCAACGGTGAGAACAAGAAATCACTGGTGGGGGTGGGAAGGCAAGTTCACTATGAAAATGCACATGAGGGAGGTGTTCCTTTCATTCAAGCATAAGGTCTACCTGCCCTTTCAGACCCATGAAAAACAGCGGCCGAACAACGCCATACCTGAAAAGATGGGGTTCCTCCTCCCCCCCCCCAATTTAAAAACAAGCAAAGTTTCAGGAAAAACCAGGTAATATAGGATTCATGCATGAGTGCAGGGGGCATGGGGGGAGGGAGGACACAATTTGGGTGGCTGAAATGGGGGGAAATGTTGTGAGAAATCATCCACTTTGTGAATGATGGCCAAAGGGGAGGAAAAAGTCCATCAGTGTCTTTTCAGTGTTCTTTTAATATACAATATATTAATTTATTCAAATACTTTATTCAAGAGTTTTATCTTCCTCATAAATTTTACAGGTAATATATACAACACATGGACTAACAGTGACAATGACGATTTATTACTTATGCAAGTCCTTTAAAGAGCTAAACTTTCATTAAAAGAGACACATTAAAGGTGGGAAATGTCTGCGCTTCATATGTTAGTGGAAAATCTGTATAAATCTCAGTGGGTTGGATTCGGCCAGCTTTTTTGCTTAAGCTCACTGAGTGTTCTTCCTCTCTACAGCCCTCACAGCTTTTTTTTATATATAAATTTTTAATATTTCAGAAGACATGAACAATAAATCTTGAGACAGTCATACAAATCACTACGGTCAAGTAAAGAATGAAAGCAGTATAACATGGGGACATAGAATGCCCCAGCTTAGCTTTTACGAGTGATCAAAGGGGATTCCTCCACCTATTTTCACCAATGGAAAAGCTGGTTGGATCCAAGCTACTGTATTCCCATCTTACTTTTAAAAAACAGTGGCCCTAATCCAAAGGCCCTAATCCAATTTCCATGCGGTAGCAGGATATTTTTCCCCTCATCACCAAGGAAATAGTTATACAATCACATGGAAAAAAATATATATGATCAGCATCTCAGAGCTAGCAAGATAGGCCTGTTCACGGAGTGTCTCAATTGGATTTTTTTTTAAAAAAAATATGGCACAACATAATTTGTTCATACAAGGCTGAATCCAGAAAGGGATCTTTATACAAGAGCTTGTACTTAACTGTGCATTTCCCAAGATTACTTGGAATCATTTCCTGGAAATTAGTTTCCATGGAACTTAAATTTTAGTGTAATGGATATGGGCTTATAGGGCTACATATGTTTCTCAGAATGCATGATAAAATACAGTTGATTCAATTAAATAGTAATGTTTGCATGGACTTAAGTGTAGTGCTTGCAAGCAGTGTTCCCTCTAAGCTGAGTTAGTGTGAGCTAGCTCACAGTTTTTTAGCCTCCGGCTCATGCTTTTTTGTCTTAGCTCAGGAAGGACAGCTCCAGAGCAAACTGATTTATGCAGTAGTCAAATCTCTTGCTCACAAATTTAATGCTAGTAGCTCACAAAGTAGAATTTTTGCTCACAAGACTCTACAGCTTAGAGGGAACATTGCTTGCAAGATTCTTTTGATGAGCAGTCGTGTCCTACAGGTTGCACAAAAACAACAATAGATACAAAGTAAGCAAATTCAGTTTACCCGTACATATACAGAAAACATAAGAAAGATTAAACAGATCTTGAATTTGAAATATTCTATGCTATGTTAATAGAGAACTCCTTCAACTCTTTGCATGATTAACGGGTCTGGTAAGGTTTTGAAAGGCTAATTGTTTTTCAAATTGCACCCAAGAAACGTTTCATATTGCACAACACACCACTAGAATCTGGGTCTCTTTCTTGCCTGATGGTTTATGCAGCTGTGTCACCTAAAATGAAAGATGGTACGTCAAATTAGAAGCTAGAAACGCATGATTTAAAATGAGACATCTGCACTGAGCCGCCAGCCTCTCTCCCAGTGTGCTGCAGTGTCTATCTAGAGCAGCTACCTCCGTACCCCTATATTGGAATGCATGGCTAAGCCTTTGCACATTGAAGAATCCCAGATTCAGATCAAAGCCTAGTGGCTCATAAGGAACCATGAATTTCTGCACTGTACGCATTATAAAACAATCATTTGTTGAGGCTATGCTGGTGATTTCTGTAAATTACAAACCCTTGTATACTTGGAATATATAACTAGGAGTCTGGATGAGATGCAGCAGCCCAAGAATGTTCACAAGTGTTTAGGGATGCGTATCTACCAGCCACGCTCTCAGTGCAGCCCTAAACAGAGTTATATACCCATTGAACTCAGCAGACTTAGATGGGTTTAACTCTGCTCAGGTATGATTCAGGTGAGTAGCCATGTTGGTCTGAAGCAGCAGAACAAAGTTTGAGTCCAGTGGCACCTTTAAGAGCAACAAAGTTTTATTCTGGGTATAAGCTTTTGTGTGCATGCACACTTCTTCAGATACGTACCTGAAGAAGTATGCATACAGAAAAGCTTACACTTTGAATAAAACTTTGTTGGTCTTAAATGTGCCACTGGATTCAAACTTTATTCTTCTGCTCAAGAAGTGTGTTTATGAGAGTACTGTGGGAAACATCAGTAAACATGATTATGAATGTAAATTATACATTTGCTCTGGCTAGCTAGATTTTGTCAGCATCCCTTTCTTGTGTCAGTTTCTTTTGTCCCTTTGTCAGTTTCTATTGTCAGCATCCCTTTCTCATATGTATACATTAAAAATAAACAACATATATATTCGTCCCTACTACAGTTACTCAGTTTGCAGAAGAACCTCTTCTACATATTACAGGGTACGTTCAGACGCGGCGTTTCAGCCGGCATAAACTGTACCGGTTGGAACCGGTGCAGTTTATGCCGGCTGAAACCCGATCACACTTACCTCCATTTTGCGGCTCCCATCGGTGTATGCCCGCTCACACGCTGCGGGCGTCGGCGTTTTTTTTTTTAAAAAAAAACAGAGTTTGAGCATGTGCATAGGCAGCCATTCACAGAATGGCGATCTTTGCGCATGCTCAAAACACCCCACATTACATTTAAACTTTAAAGGTAAGGACTTACCTTTAAAGTTTAAAGACCAAACTGGCCTCCCTGAAGTCCCGGACTCCTCCGGATAGTTAAAGTAAGGACTTTTTTTTTTTAACAAACGCTCAGGGCGAAGCTTCGCCCAAGCGCATATCACTCAGTTTTTTTAAAAAATGGCGGGGGGGAAACGGAAGCCTCAGGCTTCCGACGGAAATGGCTAGACACCGGTGGAGAGCGATCAGATGGAGGAGTACATCGAAAGCAACCATTGCACTCAGTATACCACCACTTGGGGACCTAGTGGCAGAGTGCAATGGTTTAAAGGGACGGGTTAGGGACGGGAGGTTAGGGACGGGAGGCAGATGTTCGCCGTCTGAACGCAGGTAAGTACACCAGTTGGAACCGGCACCTATACCATTGTAAATCCCCCGTCTGAATGCACCCACAGTTACTCAGTTTGCAGAAGGACTTTGCTACAAAAGCATATTGGGAAGGATCCAAAGAACTGCCAGTGAAGCTTCACTTACAGAATGGATCTTTCTTGCCCCACCTCACCTAACAAGCTTCTTCAAGTGGAGATCCACAGACCCACTGCCTTTACACAATTATAAATTCCTTCCTCTTGTACAAGGACATCTTTGGACCCAATACTCAGTATAAAGTAAAGCATGATGTTGGTAACTAAATTAGTGCAAAATGCAAACAGTAAACACTCCACTGGTTTTGCTCAATGTAAAGAAGATTGAAGGACACTGTGATTATAGTTTTATTATCTCTGCAAGAAAACCTCATACTACTGCATTTTCTTTATTCTAACATACAAGGCTGCACTCAAACATGCTGGTTTGGATCCACCAGAGTTTTTCCTCAGGCATAAGGATTTCCATCTACAGAGTGTGATTTTTCACATCCCTCCACCCACAGCAGTCCAAAATGCTGTTTCTGGAGGACAGAGGACCCCCAGGAACAGGACTGGGGGAACATTTCAGTCTGCTGTGAGTGGGAAGCTAGAAAGTCATATTCTGCTAGAAGAAATTGTTGCACCCTCAGAAAAACTCCAGTGGATCCAAGCCACTGCCTAGAGTGAACATAATTTTCTGCAAATGCTGCCTATTAACATTGCCTACATTTTAAAAAGAAACTTTAATTTTTTTACTAAACAATGCATTGTATCTTAGAGGGTGTATGGGTGCTACTGAATGAAATCCTCTGGACTATAGTGTGTGACAACGCAGAGTAGAAAATAATGGTGTTGCCTTGCTATAAAATGGAAGATATCAGTATTTCCTTTTTGTTTGTTTTTTTCCAGACTTTTATAGAAGAATTCCTCCTCTATCCATTCTTCAGCTAAGAATACTGTAGGAATGAGAATTAGACCAACTGTGTTCTGGGAGAATTACATTAGAAGATGGAAACCTAAAGAATCTGAACGACAGTAGGTTCAGGACAACAGAAAGAAGCAGTAGTTCACTGAAAGAGTAATTAACTTGTAGAAGGAATTCAGTCATGAGATGTGATGGTCACTAGCTTACCAGACTTTAAAAGGGGGATACACAAATTCATAGAAAATAGGTCTATCAATCACTGTTATCCATGCTGTCAAAATGCAAACTCTGTATTCAAGGGCAGTGTACCTCTTGATACCAACTAATGAGGGGCAACAACAGGAGAAGCTTTGGCCTTCATGTCCTGCTTGTGGGTTTTGATGTTGTCATCTGGGACAACATCAGACCCTCACCCCACCACTTCTTGGCACCCCATGTTGTCATGTCTGGAATCCATGAGGCCCAGCGGAACTAGGTAGGCATCCTGTAAAGGTCCATGTGCCATCTAGCTGATCAATGGCGGCTGCCCATGTAACAGTCAGCCAGTTAAACCTGGCCGTTTGGCAGCCAACTGTCTGATAGTCAGCTGTCAAGAAGCTCCGCCCTGGAAGCAGGGAAGGGGAACAGCAGGGGACAGATTGCTTCAGAAGGTTCTATTGATTCATCATGGGTTTGGCCACACTCCCATAGTGCTTTTGGGCAGAAGGAGGCCATTCACCATGCTCCAGGCTTTAGGGGGGAGGCTGAGGAAGAGGTACAAGTGGGATACAAATCAAATCAGTCAATAAATAGCTCCCTTACAGCTCAGAAGGAAATAGAATTAAGAGAGCTCAGGTGGAGTAGTGCTCAACCCCCCATCCCAAGGCTAAGGGGGTTCAAGGCTTCAACCAAATAGGGCCCTGGCACACAATGGCTGTAGCCAGGGACCTGGCAGTTGGTCATCATGCTGGACTAGATGGACCTCTGGTCTGGTCCTCCAGGACTTTTCTTAAGGTTAGCTGCCAGGTAGAATAAATTACTAGGCTGAGTTGACTGAGTCCGTCAGGACAGCGTTGTCTCTTATAACAACCCAGTTTTGAAATTTCATTGTGGGCAGCTTCATCCATAATATGTAAGATTAGTTTTAGTACGTTACAGGAAATAATTATTAATTGCTTTAGTTGATCTTACCTGTTGGTTTAAAACAGTATCTCTTCTTCTTGTAAGCATTATAGGCAACTAGTCCCCCAACCGCACACAACACAACTATAGACACAACAGGGGATGTTATCTGAGCTGTCTTAGTAGCATCAGCTATAGAGGGAAACAACACATTTTCTTTAGATGTAACAGAAGGCTCCTCTGTTTTAGTGGATAGAAAGGGCAATGATATGGTATTTTGTCTATTTTCCCAATTTTTCTAATAGTACACATTTACAAACTAAGAAAATAATACTATAGCTCTGGATGGTCTATCAGGAAACATTTTAAACTTTTTTTCAAGATTTCCATTTGTCCATTTACAATTTCATTAATTAAATCACATTATAAAAATAAGTGATGTAAAATGTAGTAATCCTTAGCGAACATTAAAATATCAACAAAATTATCTTTCTGATAAATTTTGATTATGTGATATATAAAGAAATACAAGACAAAGATGCTCACTTTCACCTTTAGTTTCAACTTATCAGTCAAGTATCTTACAATAAGACTTAGGAATAATGGGCTGGATCCAAGAACTCCTTTCTGCTGACGAGGTCTTTCTGCATCATAGAAAGATATGAAAGGAGGTCATTGGATCCAACCCCATTATCAATACTTCTGAAAGTGTACATAGTAAATGTAGGTAAATAACATTAAAAGAATATGATATAGCCATTACAGTTCAGATTTTCAGGAACCTTTCCCATACCTTTTACTTCTTCCCTCTTTCAGCACAATTTGGGGGTATTTGGTTATTTTTAAAGAAGTTTTGGATCAGTGGTACCTGATTCCATCATAAACTGAAATTAGATCATGCTAGATGCTAGAGATGAAACACACTACATGGAGTTCTATGCTAGGATGTAAAGTTTCTTGGATAATTATGGTGTTTAAAGATAGTGCAGCTTTTTTGGGCAAACAAACTGCTTGGGCGTTCACCACCTTGCAGCCTTTAGAGATTATGGAGACTTTCTGAGTGAGGTCCCTGCCTGCATACGCAACTGGATATGAGAAAGATCTCACTTCGAAACAGGTTCCTGTTGTCTGATGATTTACTGCCTTTCAATAAGAGGATTGTCTTGTTTCTCTGAGCTCCTGACGGGAGGGCTTCAGATTTACTGTGGATTTATGTACCTTTACAGACATTTTGACATCTTTTAAGAGGATTGTTTTCTTTGACTCTATGGCTTTAAGAGAACTCTTTGCCTTAATACACCCTTGCTTCAAATAATCATTGTGCAACAATATACATTTAGCAGCTGTTCATAATTTATTGTTGTTTTTCTGTTCGGTCACAGTTTTTGTTTCTCTGTTGCTGTCTTGCCTGTGACTTCACCATTTGTTTTGGTAAAGATATTGCTATATTATGTGTCCTCTAAATAATATAAAACATAAAGTGGAAATTGTGACATGGACTTTGTAAAACCAAGATATGCACTGCACTGAATTACAGAAATTTGCCTGCTATCAAGTACTGCTTGTAAAAAGTATGGAAAGTTGCTGAAATATTGAAGCTGTCAAACTATATTAGAATCAGAGAAGGATGAGATCAGAAAAACTGGTGGAAATAGGATTTCCTCTTTTCATTATTGGAACCAGAAACACATTTGCAATGTTCAGTCCTTATTCTGTTTCTTTTTTATGTTATACATTTCTTTGTCTTCTTATGACAGCTATTTATTATAATGATAAAACAAATCACAGTTGTATAAGTACCAATTAGAAGTCAATCTAATGAAAGTCAGAAATCAGTACCATCAGGCTCCTTGAGCATGATGCAAAATTAAAGCCCACTGATTTCAACTAGAATGTTCAGTATTTGAGCCTGAAGAGCAATAATTATGAGGAGCCTAAAGACCATTATTAAGTGGTGAGATGTAGGCATAATGCAATGGTCTTCATTTGTTCCAGACTAGGAATATACTGTGTTGAAGTCATGTGACAGGAAGAGGGGGGAAATTATGACTTCTCCAGTATTGAGACCAGGTCACTTATTGCCACATTGGTGTCAGGAGGCAATTCTTCTCCAGGCCAGTTTGGCCAGGAATCCTGGAGTTTTTTTTGTCATCTTCTGGGCATGAAACACTGCAGATGTGGGGGGAAGTATTTGTGAATTTCCTGCATTATATAGGGGGTTGGACCAGTGTTCCCTCTAAGCTGAGTCAGTGTGAGCTAGCTCAACAGTATTTTAGCCTCCAGCTCACACATTTTTTGTCTTAGCTCAGGAAGGATGGCTCCAGAGCAAACTATTTTATGCAGGAGCCAAATTGCTTGCTCCCAACTTTAATGCCGGTAGCTCACAAAGTAGTATTTTTGCTCAAAATTCTCCACAGCTTAGAGGGAGCATTGGGTTAGACTAGATGACCCTGGCGATCCCTTCAAACCCTAAGATTCTATAATTCCATCCATGGGCAGCAGACCAAAAGACCTGTGTACAGAAAACACAAGCCAAGCACCAGGAGGATGCAATACTGACGAACAAGGCAAGGGTCACAGCCGTGAAGGAATTATCTCAGCCAATGAGAAATCTTACCGTAGTGTCCTACTGCTCTTCTCAGCTTACATGCAGAGAGAGGTAGGAGGCGTGGTACCCTTGCTGTCTACACAGCAAGTCCTTCCAAAATGCAGCAAAAATGGCAGATCATGAGTATAAGACCAGGGGCTTCGTGCATGTGCATTCAGTTTTTTAACTCCACTTGGAACTGGTTGACACTTCTGTGTTTGCTTCATCATAATCCCACTATACCATAAAGAAATGGTAGACCTGACAATGGTGTGAAAAACTGGAATGCACTTGCCAAATTTTTCACATGATCCCTTAATTGCTTGTCCACAAGTGAAAAAATATTAACATGTTGTGAGATGCCAGTGTGGAGTAGGGGTTAGAGTGCCAGGCTAGGATTTCAGAGACACAGGTTCAAATCCCCACTCATGCCATGGAAGCTCACTGGATGACTTTGGGCCAGTCACACACACTCAGCCTAACCTACCTCACAGGATTGTTGTAAGAATAACTTGGAGGAGAGGAAAGCATGTAAGCCACTTTGGGTCCCCACCAGTGTTCCCTCTAAGCTGAGTTAGTGTGAGCTAGCTCATGGTTTTTTAGCCTCTGGCTCACACATTTTTGTCTTGGCTCAGGAAAGACGGCTCCAGAGCAGACTAATTTATGCAGTAGCCAAATCGCTGGCTCACAACTTTTAATTCCAGTAGCTCACAAAGTAGAATTATTGCTCACAGGCCTCCACAGCTTAAAGGGAACGTTGGGGCATGGTATAAATAAATTAAATTTAAATGTTTTAGCTTTAACTGGCTTGAGAGTGATAGTCATCCTTTGATAACGTGATATTCATGGGAAGGGACACATCAGCCAGGAGCTAGATGAAATCTGGCTGAGATGCATCTCTGAGTGAAGGGGGGGAAACCCCTCAGTCTGTGCAAGCACATTACACACAGCAGTATTAGAAATTATATAAATTGAAGAATTTCCTCTCTTCATTATTCTAGTGACTGTCAGCATGAAACCATACCCAACCTTACCGGTATTTCCTCCATTCGTTGAAATATGTTCATTCCCATCTGGAGTAGAGGATGGAATGTTAGGAAAAAGAAAAGTTTAAAAGGTGAATTTTACTCAGTGAAGAACAACCAAGGTTATCGGAACACATTTCGAAATGCCAAACTCAAGGTTTCCCCATCTGAGCTGATGACAAGCAAGCCCTGCAGTGATGCCCCGGAAATGCAGCTGGGACCCGACTAGCAGCAGCTGAGCTCCCGGAAGTGATGATGCCCATTGCTTTCCATGCCACTGATGACCAGGAGCATGCTGAGCCCCTGCAAAGTGCTGGTCCCCTCCTTATTATACCGCTGCAGGAAGCTGCTAGGGTAACATGGCCAGAGAATTGGTCCCGCTGCTTCTTCCCAGTATCCCCAAGTGGTTAATCTTGCAGAGAAGGAAGCTAGTGGCAGAGATGGCTGGCTGGCAACACAAGGCTTCATCCGTAGGGCTCGATACATATACGGCTACTGAACTGCATGAGAATTTTAATTCCCAACTTTTCTGGTTTAGAGGAGTCCACGGTTGTGGACGGCATCACGGCATCACAGACTTATTATTGCTCAATCTCGAGTGGCTGAACGCCACTTGTCCCTCTAAGAAGTTGGACACTGACCGTTCGGGGGTCGCATAACTGCTGGCATTTCCTGGATAAAATATCCACCCTTGATCTGTTCCAGTCTGGCATCGGGCTTAGCTTTGGGACCGAAACAGCCCAGCTGATGATCTCTGGATAAGAGCAATCATCACCACTGAAATTGTTGTATCTGTCAGCAGCATGTGCTATGGTCAACTATGGTATTTTAGGGGGTCAGCTGTAATCAGCATTTGAAATAAAAGGGACAGAACTCTTTGGTTCTGTTCTTTTCTAGTTGTGAGGAAGCAAAGAGTTTACATCTGAGAGGCAGAGTGAGCTAGTTAGAACTGGATGTGTGGGGTGCCCCAAAAGTCCATTTTATCCCCAATGCTTTTTAATTTTTATGTTGGCTGAGATCATCTGGCGATTCGGATGGATGATCCCAGTTTTGCAGTTCACTCTCTAAGCCTGTAGAAGCAGCTATGAGCCACTGTTTTGAAGCCACGTTCAAGTGGCTGAGGGAGAGCAAACCAAATCTTAATCCAGACAAGACTAGAAGGCTGTATGTTTGGCTGGTGTTGACTTGACAGCCTTCCATGGGGTTAAGTTTTCTTCAGTAGATCAAGTTAAGAGTTTTGGGGTGCTCTTGCTGATGGATAAAGAGCTTGCTGCTGTTGCTAGCTGCACCTTCTTCCAATTAAATATAGCTCACAAGCTGCCCACCCCCCCATTTAGACTCTGCTCATTGAGCCATGCCGATCCACATTCTGCATCCTCCACACTGAACTGCCATAACACCCTGTATGAGGGGCTGCCTTTGAAGAGGTTTCAGAAGCTTCCCAAGTTACAAAACGCTGCTGTGAGACTCCTGTCTGGTTTCAGCCGCTTGGTACATATAATGCTATCAGTTCAGCACTATGATTCACAGGGGAAGTTTGTTTTCATACCACAGCCCACTCAGAGCCACTTGCAGGTTAACAGTTTTCTGCCATGAATAACTCACAAGTTATTTCTGTGAATAACTTTGTTATGTGGTTCAGTCATCTACCACTTGTCAGAAAAATACAGGAATTCTCAGCTGCTGTCACATTCCTGGCATACTCGTGTCTTTCTTCAGACAACATAAATGCAAACATTTTGCCATTCAAAACCCCAATGTGTAAAATAGTCTGAACATATCTTCAAAAACAGAGGTGTTCATGACAAACCGTGGTTACCATCAAATTTATTCCCTAATAAGTTTCAACTGTGTTCTTAATTTTTTAAATTAGATATAACAGTTCTCTGTATGTTTACAGAGCTGCAAAGAGCAGCGACCCCTTCCCACCATTCCCTAACCACATTGCTATCCTGTAAAAAGGACTGTAAACTGAAAGAAAGAATTCGGACTGATATACATTACCTGGGGCCCTGGGAGGTAGAGGTTTCCCATCATTAAGATCCAAGTCAGTAAAACTACCTAGGAAGATACAATCAGGATATTAGCTTATCTTTTCAAGATATGTCCCTTCAACTATTTTGACAGTCTTCAGAAACTGCCTGAATAGTAATGGTCTTAAGGCTAGTCCTAGTATATTGCACAAAATTATCCCTGCTTATCTACAGAAGACAAAACGATCTATCTTTGGCTACGAAGTATTCAGCTGAAATCCTTTGGAATGTTAATATTCAAAGCATTTAAACAACAAAAAATCCTTGGTATCTGATCCCTCTCAACAGAGAGTAAATGCTGTCAAGAACAAAATCCAGTATTTAAAAGATTCCTATCTAAATGCAGAGCACAGGAATTAACTGCACTTTTACTTTATGGCAGTGTTAACAGTTGCTCAGGGCTGCAAAACAGCATTCTAAGTAAGCAATGGCATTAAAGGAAGGACTCAAAGAGAGGCATCCCCCCAAAAGGCAGAGCCAGAAGGGAAGAGCTGATAGAAGGATGGATGAGGACTCCATCCCACCCAGGATTGCCTAGCACTTGGGGGGGGGTTCTTCCTCCTCTCAGACCATTCGTGCTAAGAAGAAGAAGAGATTGGATTTATACCCCGCCCTTCACTACCCAAGGGAGTCTCAGAGCGGCCTACAAACTCCTTTCCCTTCCCCTCCCCACAACAGACACCCTGTGAGGTAGGTGGGGCTGAGAGAGCTCTGACAGAAACTGCTCTTTTTCAAGAACAGCTGTGACAGAACTACAACTTGTCCAAGGTCACATCAGCAGGTGCAAGTGGAGGTGTGGGGAATCAAACCCGTTTCTCTCAGATCAGAGTCTGTGCACTTAACCACTACACCAAACTGGCTCTTAGGAAGTCTTCAAGGCTAATGTCCAATTTTTAAGAGTTTATTCATAAGCACACACAGATATGGACAAATGAGGGGAACGGGAAAAGAGAAATGCAGAATTAGAATAAGCAAATAAAAAATAGAGAGTAGGGTAGAGGCTGTGGCTCAGTGGTACAGCATCTGCTTGTCACGCAGAAGGTCCTTGGTTCTATCCCTGGCACCGCCAGTTAAAAGGATCAGGTCTGTAAGGGATATGAAAAAACCTCTGAGACCCTGGATGGCCACTGCCAGTCAGAGCAGATAACACTGGCCTTGATGGACCAGTGGTCTGATCCAGCATATGGCATTTTCATGTGCTCATGATTACTTTCATTGCCCTGATCGTTTCTAGCTAATCCAAAACTTACTAGGATTCTTTTATCCTTCTCCTGCCAGGTGGGTCAGGCATTCCAAGGTTTGTATTAGAAAGCTGACAGAAGCCTCCTCCAAGCTGCTCTTTATTTTAGGGGTTCCAAGGCACCCTCCCTTTTTCTATGCTGTATCCTTCAGGGAACTGGTTTTGCCCTCCCAAAATGTGAGCTGTTGGCAAACCTACCTAGCACTGTTCCCTCTAAGCTGAGTTAGTGTGAGCTAGCTCACAGTTTTTTAGCTTCCGGCTCACACAGTTTTGTCTTCACTCAGGAAGGAGGGCTCCAGAGCAAACTAATTTATGCAGTAGCCAAATCGCTTGCTCACAGCTTTAATGCCAGGAGCTCACAAAGTAGAATTTTTGCTCACAAGACCCCACAGCTTAGAGGGAACATTGCTACCTAGGGTTGCCAAACCTCACAGTTTGCCAGGGGTCCCCCATTTTTTTGGGGAGGGGGGTTCTACCCACCACCGGCCAGATGGCCAGCGGGGGAAGCACCGCCCCCAACACACACAGCCACCCCTCTCCCTTCTCTCTTGAGAGAGAGGGGTGACTGCCTTTAGGTGCATGGAACCCGTGTTTCCTCCCAAGCCCGATCTCCGCTTGAGATCCGGCCTGCAGGGAAATGCCAGCTTCGTGCCCTTAAAAGGGAAACGCGGCTCTTTGCTCTTAAAGGGGAAACACCGGCTCCTGCACTTAAAAGGGAAATGCCGGCTCCTTTAAGTACAAGTAACTGGCGTTTCTGGAGATCCAGCACGCGGGCGGGGGGGGCAGCGGACGTCCCCAACATGACATCATCACCCCGCCCCCTCCAGGAACTACCTCCAGGAATGCCCCCAAAGTCCCCCGCTGGGGGTGGAAGATAGACTTGGCAACCCTAACCCTACCACCTGTTTCCAATGTGCTATCTCACTCTGTGGGGACCAACATGTTTCTTGCTCTAGGGGATTTCTTTCCTCTCTTGTGTGGGACTGGGACACAATCATGGCATGGGATGGCAATGTATGCCAGTGTGCCTCTGGCACAGGCCGGGAGCAGCACCCCTGTTGCAGGCTGCAGTTTGAATGCCATCTCCAGGGCGGCCTCTTATCTCTGGCTGTTTGTCCACTCCATGCTGGCTGCTTGCCTGTCTGTGCCCAGCATGGATTTCCTTTCCCAGCAGGATGCTATTTGTGTGCAATAGGTGTGTGTTATTCAGGAGAAAGAGGAGGAAGAGGAGGCCTTCACTGGGTGGGCCAGAAGCATGTGTGCATTCTCTGCCCCCACTTCCTGATGTTCAGGATATGTGTGCTAAGTGTGGGAGCAGTCTGGATCCCTCCAGGGATTTTGACTGCTTTTCATTGCAAAAGTCCTCTCATGTGCAGCAATGGCCTCCTCAGGGGCAAGAGGGTGGAATGTCTTCTGTTCCCAACCCCTGTGCCATATTCCACATGTGGGCAGTGCTAGGGGGGGCATGCTATATTGCCTAGCTGGCTGCCATTCATGGAGACATCAGTGGCACACTGTGACATCATAGGGGCAGTGCTGCTGTGGACACCTGTGTGATAGCACCAGAGGAGTTAGCCATGTTTGTTGCTGTAAAACAGTAAAAAAGTCCAGTAGCACCTTTAAGACTAACAAACTTTATTGCAGCATAAACTTTCGAGAAACACAGCTCTCTTCGTCAGATGCACAGCTCTGTGATAGCACCACTCTGTGCAATTTTGTGAGGGGTATATCCTGATGCTGACTGGTGGCTCCAGAGACACACTCACATGCCTTAGACTGGGGCTGCGCATCACCATTTTAAACGCCTTTCAGTCTGAAAGCAGTTTGCCTCTGAACTTGTAAGAATGACATAATCAAATACCCTACGCATTTTTTAAAAGTCAGAAACTGTTCTTACCAGAATCACCGTGGCTTCCTGGTCGTGGTGGAGGACGTGGATATGGCTGAGGTTTCGGGTGATCATCTATAGTACAGCAGGTAAATAAACAGAGGACAACTGCATTTTGTGATACATAAATATTTTAATTCCTTTGCTAGCAACAGTTCAGAGATTTTTAAGTGCGCCGGAAAGAAGCAGCTGTATTTTCCAAAATGTATATGCAGAATCTTAACATATAGGTTTTTTTTTAAAATGAAAGTATGAAACCCCTAAGGCTTCATACATCTCCTTTATACATCTCCTTGGGGAAGTATAAACTTTTATCCAGAAAGGAGGCAACACTTGTACTTTAACGTCTTGGTTCCTTCATATTGCCAGTTCCTGAGATCAACTGTAACCTTGTGGTCCAGCCAGCTCAGGACTCCTCACCTCCACCTATTTACATCTCACTGCTAGGGCTGCATTCTCCACCTGGGTTCTTCTTCCAGGTCCTTAAACTCCTGCCCTGGCCACTGCACCCTTCCTACAGAATTAAGCCTCATCTGCCTAGGTCTGGCATGCAAAATTCCTCCTGGCTGCTCTTGGGACCAGGACTGCTGACTTCTGAGGCTTTCATCCAGAGGCCTGGTACCTCTGTCTTGTCCACAAAGGCCCCAATACTGCAAGCCCACAGCCTTCAGCCAGCTGCCTCCTTACTGCCTTCAGCTGGGACCTTTTATCCCTCTTCACCTGGTCACCCTTAGTTCCTGTATCCCTGCTTCTACTTTCAAGCAAGCTCTTCCTTTCAAGAAGTAGGGTTTTATCTGAGAGGAGTCCTGTTTCCCTGCCTGCTCCTATGCCTGAGCAACTCCTTCCTCTCAAGTAGACATTTATACCAGAGGAGTCCTTACTCCACAAGAAGGTAGTACTGGATGGGTCTTTTTTCTGACTGTTCTTCCCTTGCTGTTGCCACCTCACCTGGCTCTCCTTCCAGCCCTGACACAGGGCTGCTGCCCTCCTTAGGGCCAGGCCCTACTCCCCCCCACCCTTCTCCCTCAGAGTCCAGAGAGCCCTGGACTGTGGCAGTAAGTAATTTTTAAATAAATGCCTTATTCTTCAAGTTTAAGTACCTGTGTGATATTATAAAGCCAAGAAAGGACCACAATCTAATTACTTTCTGAGTTTCGATGCACTGAGTCAATAAAAACATAACAAATTTGTTGGTGTTATGTTGTTGCTTGTGTGCTAGGTAAAAATGCTATGAAGGCCATCCTTTGCAGTAAATGTGCAGCACCAAGCTCTCTTCAGGAAATATTTTAAACTCTGGCATGACCCAGGAATGACTTTTGAAACTGGATCACAGAGAGGTTAAAGCAGTGTTTGATCCTACATCCCCAGGCTACAGGCCAACCGGAGCATCACAAACCTGGAACATTTGGATTAGGTCTGGTGTAGATTGTGGTGCCTGTTTACTGAACTTTTGAGTCTTCTCAACCATTATATTTTATTCCAGCAATTTAAAAGATCCCATGCAACAAACAAGTTTTTGTAGTATGGGAGCAAAGGTAGGAAACTTAAACAGCAACAAAAAAAAGTATTTACAACAGAATTCATGAAAATTTCATATGAGATCCACAGAAATATGGACCTGCTTTCTAACTAAAATTCTGCCTTGTGGTTATAGATACATGCAGATAATGTCGTTCAAAGCAAGACAGGCAATTCTCATATTACAGTATGACAGGGATCATTCCCTTCTTTGAAAATAAAGCATGACCTCTAGCCCACATGGCACCTCACCAACTCTACTGGACACAAGATATTAGAGGCTGGGACAGTTGGATGCCATATCACACTAGGGAGAACCCCAGCAAATGACTTTTTATTTGTAGACTGAATAACCAGGGCAATTCTGAGCACAATTACCCCCTTCTAAGTCCATTGAAGACAATGGCTTTAGAAAGGTCTAAACTCCGTTTAAGATTGCCCTGGTACATGGCTGAGGAAAGAATTATCCCCACCCCCACCCCATTGGGACAGTACAGCATGATAAGCAAGACAGACAGATGAGTTTTGGAAGCAAATCACAAGGCCCTTTAAGGAAAGAATTCACATGCAATACTAATGTTGCACTGAAGAGATAAATATAATAGTATTACCTGTGTGCGGTAAAGGATTTCTGTATAGTAACAGATAGAAACACCATCTTTGGGTGTTAAAAACATGTCTTGTGTATTTTCTTGGCTGAGTATGCCTCCCAAATTACTTTTTCCCTTAAAAAGATTGTTCCTGACTCTAGATGAGTGTGATTCCCCCCCCCCCTTTGCCCTGACAAAAAATTAAGTACTTGCAGCCTTATTGCTGAATGGATTCCCTTTTTCCCTTTCAGCATGGTAATTCAACTCTGATATTTCTAGAAACAAAAACCTAGTTTGGAAGCCCAGGTTTTTGCAAAGACAAAATATAAGTAGCATCCTGTATATATTTGAATGCTATTCCCCCGTGACCCTCATTTGTCACAATTTGGCCAGGGTTTACATTGTGTTATTTGTTGACTGACCGGCTTTTACTACAGTAAATACATTGTGTTCGGCAAAGATAAGATTAAGAGGACAACAGAAAGAGTAAAAGGTAGAAAGGGACTAATTAAAGCCAGAGACTGAAGCCCAAATGGATCCTCTCCTCCCGGAGGCAAATAAAAGCAGTGCTTTTCAGGAAGACATTGAGGGGGAGACAGTTTTATGTGTTGCAATCTGCTGTTTTTCTATTGCTGCTAGTACCACATGTGTTTTTAGAATGAAGCCATTTTGTTAATATTTTTAGTCTGGTTTATAGTGGGTCTCATGAACATTAACTTTAAACTGTTTTCATTGTGATGGCATCTCATTGGGTTTATTCTGTGGCATTTTAAGCACCACAAGCCGTATTCCATACTGGATTGTTCCTGCCGTCCTGCATCCCCTGAAAAGTCAGGCACTCTCAAAGAATGGGCAGGAAGGGACTGCAGCTAGACAGAGGCATCCATAAAAATTGCTGACAGTCCCTCCTGCGTGAGTGGAAATGTCTTCTTCTCACACAAAGGCAAGAAGCTCCCAACTTCCTGGCATTTCCCATACCATCAGTTGCCTCAGAAGTCAGTTACCAAAGAAAAGGTATAATACATATGCGTTTCATATCAACAAAAATAAAATAAGTAATTCTGCTATGGATTTAAATCAATATTAATATTCAAATTAAATGTGCTTCTTGAGCAGCCAGTCTGAGGTTAGTCATGCCGGTCATGTGGTATCAAGTTGCCTGATGGATGCTGCAGGGTCTGGCCCTGATCAGTAGTCCCTCAAAGGCCAAAATAACCCTGGAAGAGGGTCTAGCCCCTTCCCCCTGCCTTTTTACAGAGAGAAACCCGAGGCTGGAAGGCTTGGAAATACTGTTGTAGTTGCCTTGCAACGGCTTCTGGGGTGTGTGTGTGATTTCAGATTTTTCTGCAAACCTAAGACTTTTTCCATGTTTGTCCACAGCTCTGGTCTTCAGATTTAAGTATCCACAGATGGGACCACATTAAGTATTAGACATATTGATATAGGTCTAATAGGTTGAAAAGCTCTCCTTTTCTTGCTTTTGTTCAGTACCCTCCCTAATCAGCACCTAGCATTGGGTTGGATCCTACAGACTCCCTGTGCAGTCAGGAGGAGTGGGTGGGTATAATTTTCCCTTCTTCCTCCAACAGTAGAAGTTGTTAGTGGAGAAAACTATCAACAGAAGGGAAAGGGGAGATGATGTCACCCAGTTCTGCCTCTTAACTGTGGCTTCCTCTGCTACATGACACTTTGTATGTGTGTGTCTCCTGACCCTTTGTATCAATTGGGGGTGTTAATCACAGTGGGTTGCTGTGAAAGTGGAATCCAGGGAAGATCTGTTGCTGTAAGCAACTGTCGCTTACAGTTCATAGCACCCAGCCCATAAATCTGAATGTGTGGTGCCATATTCTCAGGACTACAAAAGAATGAACATCTCACCATGTTGGGATTCCCCCCCCCCCCCCCCATCATAGTTTAGTACAGATTCATCCTTACTTCTAAAACACAGGCTGGCTGAATTTTTATCCAGATTACTTGGATTTAGACCAGTAATTTTTATTTCACTTAGCTTATCATAAGTCAAATATGCATTAGTGGTTTAAATCTGAGTTCACTGGTTTAAGGGTAGGGTTGGGGGGGGGGGAGGAAATGCTGCCAACACCTTAAAACATGCTTACCATTACCATTACCACCAAGGGCATCTTCTAAATCAAAATAATCATCTAAAAGAAACCAAAGTGAATTAACGTCATAAACATAGACAAAATGACTTGAACAACAAAAAATACAAGCAAATTTCTGCAAGAGTCAACATGAATAGCTTGGAACCAACAGTGCAATCCTAAACAGAATTACAGTCTTCTAAACCCTTTGACTTCAATGGGTCTAGGAGGGTGTAACTCTGCTTCAGATTGCACTGCAAGTATAGCTGTCATATGACATGTAAAATGTCCAACAGAGCATACTACATCTCGCCATTTCATTTACTGCATACTGAAAATTTGTTTATGGCACCAGTGTCCAATGCCAAATATTCAGTGTTTCAAAAGAGCCGTAATCTCATTGCTAACTAGAGCTGAGCATTTCTCCAGTTAAGTATTAAATCCTGGTTTCATTTTTAAAACATTAATTTTATTCTAACAGAAAGCATACTTTATTCATCAACAGGTTTAATATTTCTGCTGCTTGCAAAAACAAAGTAGTCACATTTTGCGTAAAACACTGCAATAGTAATTTCAAAAACGATAAGGAATTTACAGTTTAATGGTTTGCATCCTGTCAAACAGGTCCACGTGAGCAGAGGGTGGTGATTTTTGCTAATTCCCTCCTCCTGTGGCATCCCTTCTAATTCTACCTCATGTGATCCTTGGGGGTCCCCCCCCCCAGGAGCTACATATGGGGGGCATTTGGGGATGCAGAAGGAGGAAGGATGTGAGGAAGCCATGTTCCATAGGTGGAAATATGACTACTTGCTGTAAATTTTGATGAGACCTTAGTCAGTGAATGTCTCTTTAAAAGGCTCTGAAGTGGATTTTGCTGACAACAGGTGATGTGAGGAGGGGGGCTCCTTACACACACACCCCAGCTGGTTTACTGAGCCTAAAGAACCCCCAGTGAAAAGTTATTTGCATAACTTTGGAGCAGCACATGGAGTAATCCAAGCACTGGCAATCCCAAAGTTATGCAAATAACTTCCCACTAGAGGTTCATTAGGCTCAGAAAACACCTGGGAGGGGGGGAGGAGCCCTCTTCTCCACCCATACTGCTTGTCATCAACAAATGCAGCTTCCGGGGGTTAAAGTGACATTCTTGGAGCTGACCTGTGACTCTGATCCCAGAGACAACTCAGAAACCTATCATGTAGTTTAGCCTTTAGACAGATGTATCTGTGTTTAGGATTGCACTGTTAGAGAATCAGAGATTTTAGAAGTTTAGATTGCTGCTGCTTCAGTTTTGGTTCATATTTCTCCCCACATCTCCATCCTGAGGCCAAGACAAACTTCTGTCTTCCCTTTCTTGGCACCAGACAACCAGGAAATCCCCCCCCCCCCCCCCCCCCCCCCATCCAAAACCAGGAAACCCCCCCCCCCCCCATGGCCACAGTGTAGGCAGGAAAACAGGACTGCAACTAATCTCATCACACTTACTAAGGATAATAATAGCAGCTTCAGAAGGAAATAGAGCCTGGTCTGAGGCCTAGATTTTGACCCATTAATCCTGCCATATTACCACTCTTACTACAGGTAAAGGTAAAGGTTTCCCTTGCTTGAAAGCCAGTCGAATCTGACTCTAAGGATGCAGTGCTCATCTCCGTTTCCAAGCCAAAGAGCCAGCACTGTCCAAAGATGTTTCTGTGGTCATGTGGCCAGCATGACTAGATGCCAAGGCGCACAGAACACTGTTACCTTCCCACCAAAGCGGTACCTATTTATCTACTTGCAATTTCTTGCTTTCGAACTGCTAGGTTGGCAGAAGCTGGGACCAGAGACAGGAGCTCACTCCGTCAAGCGGCACTTGGGTCTCGAACTGCTGAACTACTGACCTTCCACAGTCTGCAGTTAAGCATCTTAACCACTTGAGCCATCGCAGCTTACGTACACCACTCTTACTATAGAAAGGTCTAAATCCACATTAACATCTCTTAGTAAAAGATTCCTGATTCAGATTGACCTGTTTTAGACAGCTTTGAAGTTCACAGCCAAACCCTACTCCAGTGAGGTTGTTGGAGTGAGTGACTCAGCATGCCTGGGCATGGGGGGGGGGAAGGTGTTACATCACTCTAAGGGTTTATAGGTATTATCTCCTTGAATGGGATGCCTCCCTTTGTCTTAACCTGGGATTTGACCTCTGACTCCTCCTCTCTCTTTGTCCTCTCTCTCTTCATGTGGCCTTCCATGGAGACACATGTCTCTGCATGTCTCTCCTGTAGAAACAATCCCCTCATACACCCACACACATGATGCCAGACAAGCTGGCCATTTGTGATAAAGGACTCTTTAGATTAGGCTTCTTTTCTCTCCTTTCAACAGCAACCTGAATGTGAAATGCAGGGCTTTAAAAGAAGAAGTAGTAGTAGTAGTGCTGGAACTTTCAAGAGGGAAATGAAGTTTTCAACCCGTATACTGAAAACTCATGAACTTTTAAACATTTTAAAAATAATTTTGTCAAAGAGATTCTGGAACTCCGTTCCGGCATGTACCCCCAGGAAAAAAGCCCAGAATATATGTAAGTTTACCTTTTTTGCAATATACTTCTTGGGGGATTTATTTACTGTACTCAGTACCATGCTTCTATGACTGGGCAAACTCTGTTATATTAACCAAATATCCCAGTAGAAATAACTGAGACAGCCTCCAAATTCACTCTCTTCCTGAGCACAGACAGCCCCTGCTTTCCCCTTATTTGACAATAGTAGGAGGACCCTTGCTCTACTCTCTTCCTCCTCTGGATTGAATGGCATACCTTATAAACCCACCTTCTTCATTCCCTGCCCATTTCCCAAGCCTACAAATCAGGTGGAGTTAGGTAACTATACTCCCTGCTTTATCCTCTCACTTAACCTGTTTTGCTTCTTGGCTTCCCCTGGTTGTGTGTCGCATACTGCAGAGTGTACTTGGAATAGGTGGCTCTTAATGTGGGCATTCTAATGATTGTGATAGCTTGAGTACATTACTTATCCAGGCCAGGGGCTTCTGACTTCAGTGTGCCTGGATTCTCAGTATTTTTTTTCAAGCTCGCAGAGGAACTTCACCACTCCCATTATAGCCGGTTCCCTTCCTTTTCCATTCCCTTATATGTGTGTGTTGTGTTATTGCCCTGATGGGGGCATTCCTTTAAAATGGGATTAGTACCTCAGCCAACAACTTTAGCATGGGAGTGGAAGGTGACAGGAGGGTTTCTTCCTTATGCTTAGGTATGGGCTATGCTGGAAAGTCAGGTACTTTCACACTGATATGTCATGGGTCTCCATAACCACACACAGTGAAATGCTTGTGTGGTGTAAATGGACTCTAGTTCACTGAAGTACATGCATTCAGACAGCACAGTGAAGCTTGACTAAACTGGGAATGTCTGGGTGCAAAAAGGGGAGCATGTGCACATAGCATTAAAAACTGTGCTTGTTCCCAAATGGACTTTACGGCTTGTCATGAGGTCTGAATGCTATCCCTCACTCTTGCCCTCATTTGCTAAAGAGCAACTGAGGCTGTGATCACATACACTAAATAATTCACTTTCCAACTGGATTTTACTGTGTGAACTGGCAACATCCAGATGGAAAGTGAATTGAAAGTGGGTTATTTAGCGTGTGTGATTGCAGCCTAAATGTGCAAGCAGCACTCGTTCCTGCCCTTGCTGACACATCGCACCATTTAAGAAGTCAATTGATTGATTAATTAACAATATTTGACATAAATGGATAGCTGTGTTAATCTGTCTGTGGCAGTAGAAAAGAGCAAGAGTCCAGTAGCACCTTAAAGACACAAAATATGTGACAGGGTAGGAGCTTTCGTGAGTCACTGCTCACTTCTTCAGGTATGAGCTTTCATGAGTCACTTGAAGAAGTGAGCAGTGACACACGAAAGCTCCTACCCTGCCACACATTTTGTTAGTTTTTAAGGTGCTACTGAACTCCTGCTCTTTTCTACTGCAGCATTTGATCTGTCAATCAACCTGCATATTAAACATCTCACCAACAGATACATTAGGCAGATGAGGTCACCTGCTTCCCAGCCTCCCTCTTCTGTTCCTGCCACCATTTTGCAGGGCAGTAGGGGGAAAACAGCATAAAAGCATGGTGTGATGTCAGTTCTAGCAAATACCTGGAAGTGTTATCGTATCACTAATATGACGCTGTAGGATTCAGCCAAAACTCAAGTTTTGATGCATCCAAGAGTGTCAGGTTGGTGTCACATAGCTGGTGTCACATAGCAGTTCCAGGTAATGACCAGAAGTGATGTTGCATCATTGTCTCAACATCACTCCCCCCCATCCCCACCTCCTCCTCTCTCCCATTATTATAATTAGGGTTGCCAAACCCCCCGGTTTGCCAGGGGTCCCCTGTTTTGGGGTGGTTCTACCCGCTGCCGGCCAGATGGCCGGTGGGGGAAGCCCCACCCCAACACCCACAGCCACCCATCTCTCTCCCTTTAAGTGTATGGAACCCGTGTTTCTTCCCAAGCCTGATCTCTGCAAGCTTGCAGGGAAATGCCAGCTTCGTGCTCTTAAAAGGGAAACGCGGCTGCTCTTAAAGGGGAAATGCCGGCTCCTGCATTTAAAAGGGAAACGCCGGCTCCTTTAAGTGCAGGGAACTACCATTTCTGGAGATCTGGCGCATGGGCAGGTGGGGAGGGCGGACGTCCCCAACGTGACGTCATCACGTCGGGGATGCCCCGCCCCCTCCAGGAACGCCCCTAAAGTCCCCCGCTGGGGGTGGAAGATGGACTTGGCAACCCTAATTATAATGAATTCTTATAAATCTTTCAAATGCTGCTTTAATGTATTTTAGGGTTTACAGCCAATTGATACACTAAGAAAACATTTTTTAAAAAACTTAATAGCATTTCCCTAACACAGTTTATACATTCCTACAAACTTGTTGAAAGGCTAAAATGCTGACTACTGAAATAATGAATAAAAACAAATCCATGAGCACAAACAAAATTTTCAGAATCACCAGAATGAAGACCATCTTTGTAGATTATAACAATGGAAATAAATTCATACCTCTATTTCCATGGCCTCCTGGTGGTGGTCTCAGAGTTGGATATAGAGGTTTAGGACGATTCCCTATAAAGGATATATATTTCCAGATATTTACTCTTATCAGCTCAACAGGTATTTCCTTTCTTTTGAAAGAAATGCATATCATCCTACTTAGGATCACGATGGGAGTGATCTTCAGGCTTGTTTTTTTTCTGACTCAGATGTGGCAAACACATAATGAAAATTGCAAACATGTTTATGTTAGCCAAAGTTTTCCATATAATTTGGCAGGCTGGGGAGGATGTCAACACAAAGTTATTCAGGTCAGAGAGAAACAATATTCTGTTACTATAAAACAAGAGTTCTCCAGAGTGGCACCAATGAGTGCCATGGTACCTGCCACTACTTCCCCTGGCTCCTGTAGAGCTTTTCAGAATGCGGATAGGGCCTTTATAACGGCAGGGCTTGTTATTAACTGTCCTCATTCAAGTGAAATGGTTTTCCATGGTTGCAATAGTAACTACAGCCAATCAAAGATTCTGAGGACTTGTAAACTCCCAGGTTTTCCTTAGTCAATGCAGGATTCCCCCATCAGACCTGAGCAACTGTTGCCATGGAATTATTTTGCAAAGCAGAGAGGGAGCTTTGTTCTAGAGTCTAGGGAGCTGGGTTGTTGCATAAGGGGAGATGAGTGTTCAGGAGTAGAAGCCCAACCAATAATACTAACCTTGACAGATGGATAGCCCGACTCTTGATAAGGCAGCTTCATGTGTTCAGTGAGTCTGCCATGCAATTCTTTTGCAAAGTGAGGAGGGGGGTATTGCATTTGGCTCCACCTTCAGTGGCAGCCATTTTGGGGGAGGCACACCACCACGCCCTCTCACAAGTTAAAAAAAGGATGGGGATATAAAAAGTATAGGATTTGCTAGGTAAGCTGAAGGACCAAAGGTTAACATACTGGGGCCTTTCAGTCCTGCCAGGTGTGTTGCTTTCAGGAAGGGTCTACGTTGCAAACCTTTCGATTTGCTCTGGCAAGGCTGCCTAAATATATCATTTTACTGTTGGATGCTGTATGTTCTTTCTACCATATAGCTTTGTTTTATTATTTTGATTTTTAGATATTTTTACATTTGTGAGATGTCTTGAGTTTTTGGAAAGACAGCATAAAAATGTTTTAATAATAAATTTGAGAGATACATCATTCCGTGCCTTATCAGTACTCTAAAACTGATACATGCACAATTGTTATTTGTTCTGTTTCCCTTAATTAGTTCACATCTCTCCACTCATGCCATGTGTCTCTCTCACCTTCAGGCTAACCAGATGTCTACATATTTATGTATTGCCTACACATACAAAGTAAAATTTGGGGCATCTGGCGGTTCTGAAATTGGCACAGGTATGTGATTCCACTGCCAACCACCCAGCTAAAGAGCAGCTGCTTCTTTTATGGCTAGGTGCCCAAACGTTTCACCTGTGAAGAGTAGTTTGTTTGTTTTTTAAAGCAAAAAGGGATTTTTCATATACTCCTATCGAAAGGGAGCAAAACATACAGCATCACTGCTTCCCATGCCCCAGTTCCCACTGGGAGTTGATAAAAAATTTTCACTCAGTCTTTCATGGCTCCTATCAGTAGTGAATTATTCTTTTTGACCTTTTCCAGAATTTTATATCTCATAAGCCAGAATGAGTACAGCTTATGCTGGAGATAAGCAAGATGGGCACTTCAAAGTCAATATCAAAATTCAGTACAAAATGGACAATTTGGAAAGCCCAAAATAGAAATCTGGAATTGATACTACTGTCCAAAAGCTACTGGAAAGTCCCAGTTATAGGCTTGGAACTTGTATGTATGAACCTCACATTGTGGCTTCATTCACTGATATATGACATGTACGTTTACTTGGACAACTGAAGTCTGGTACTCACCCCCTGGAGGCTTCTTGGTGACTGCGTAAGAAAAACCAGAATTAGTGCATCTTTCCGTTGTTACCTAGCCTATTTTTATCCTGCTCTGTCTCCAAATAAGCTCAGGGTGAGGTACATGGTTCTTCTCCCCTCTATTTGATCCTCATAACAACTCTGTGAGGTACGTTAGGCAGAGGGAATGACTGACAGAAGCTCACCCAATGAACTTCCATGGCAGTGTGGGGACTTAAGCCATGATCTTCCACTCAGATCCCAATCAACAATCCCAGTTATAAAAAGAAGATATTTCTTTCACATTGACCAGATATTTCCCACCCTTACTAATTAAAATATGGTTTTTACTCCCCTTTAAAGTACCAAGAACTCAATGAGTCCCATGGGTTTGTATTTTGGTAGCAGGAGGCATTTTGTCAGGCATTTTTAAAATTCATAAGCCATTAATGTTGGATAACCCTGGAGTCAACAAGGACAATTAAGTTTAGAGTTCAGGGTTTCATATCCATATGAATGCACATGCATGATCTGGAGAAAGAACAGTGGATTTTAATGAATTTTAAAAAGTTGCTACACATGAGTGCTTTTCAAAAGAAGAAGCCATGAAGAACAGCATGTACATGTTATGGCATATGGTTCCACTTGAAAACCTCTTGCAACCAATTGTCAAACTGGTTTTGGAACATGGAATTTAAAGAACCTCTGGGAAGGCACCTTCTGTACCTCTGTAGTCTTCAAGAGCAGCCAAACTTTTATTTAAACCTCAAATTAAAAAGGGGGGAGGGGGAAGCATGTACAGAGTACACATAAACATCTTAGGATCCCTGTCTTAGAGTCTCCTGTGGTCAAAAACAGAAAAAGTAGCTTTCCAGTTAATTAACCTGAATCATTATCAGTTGATTTAATCAAACTGATTATGTTTTGCATTGTACCTTTGCATCCTGACTCCATCTAGCCCTTTTTGGTTACACCTCTCCCACCTTCAGACCTGACTAGAAGGGCTGAAGGATATCCATTCTTATTTGTATCTGACAGAGTGAGCTTTGACTCACAAAAGCTTATACCCTGGAAAATTTTGTTGGTCTCTAAGATCTCTACTGAACTTGAATTTCGTTCTATTACAACAGAGTAGCATAGGAACCCGCCTGAAACTATCTATAAAACGTGCAGAAATTATCATCAGATATGGTAAATATTATTTTGAATAATATATATTTAACTTCATTTGCTTTGTTGTTTGACTAAATATAATTAAAAGGGCTTTTTTACAAAAGAAAGAAAAAAATTGTATTCAGGATTTCGTAGTGACCTTTGTGAAATTAATGGCTATTGACCCGAACAAAAAGTGAGTCCAGTGGCATCTTTAAGACCAATGAAGTTTTATTCAAGGTATAAGCTTCCATATGCGCACACATGTCATACACCTGAAGGAGTATGCATACAAAAGCTTTTTAGAGTTGCCAGGTCCCCTCACCATCGTGGCGGGGGGGGGGACTTAGGGGGGATGTTCCAGGGGTGGGCAGGACATCGTGCTTGACAATCTGGTTTTTGGGCAAAACTATGGGGTTTTGGCTTCAAAACCATAGAGTTTGCCCAAATACCTGAATGGCACTGTGCAACGTCCCAGCATGACGACATCACCTGGAGGTTTGGGGGTGGGGCTTCCCCCACCAGCCAGCTGGCCAGTGGCAGATCAAAGTGGAGGAACCCCCACTGGGGCCTGGGGGATGGTAACCCTAAAGCTTATACCTTGAATAAAACTTTATTGATCCTAAAGAGCCACTAGACTTGAACTTTGTTCTGCCGCTTCAGGCCAACACGGCCACCCACATGAATCTGGCTGTTGAGGATTGTGCTATAAATTTGTTCAAGTTTTTATTTGCTTAAAACCATAAATCATCAGTATTCACTAAAGGAATTTACAGAATAAATCAATATTTACATCTGTATCCCATGGTTTGGCTGAATAGCTTCTCCAGTTATACGTACCTGAATCTAGAGCATCTAACAAGTCAAAGTCTTGGCCTATCATGAGAACACAAACATCACATCAGGGGTTTATAAATACCATGTGCTTTAATTCCTTTGTTAGTCTTTGGGGATTATTGTATATTTTATACTTTTCACATGGAAGCTCAGTAAAAATTCCTTGCATGTTCCACATTGGCAGCTTCAGTGTTTAGAGAGTTGCTACATCAATTGCCACCATAATGTGAACTTATTACTACAACTCACCACTACAAGATCGAGGATAGAGAGCCTCCGTGCATTTGTAACTGAATTGTTTAAATGTTTTTAATATGGATTTTAATGATTATGTACCAACCAATGTAAGCCGCCCTGAGCCTGTTTCCAGGGAGGGTGGGATACAAAGTGAATAAACAACAACAACAACAACAACAACAACAATAATAATAATAATAAGTTGTATCAGTCCATTCCTGAGCAAAGTTCCCTCCTTCTAAATCTATTGAAGTCAGTGTACTTAGAAAGGTGTAATTCTGGTTAGGATTGCACTATAAATCTTTCAAGAAAGTACAGCTGCTGGGTATAGAACTCTTATTGCGCATAGTGAGAGCAGCATGTTTCTCAGCCCTGATGGATGCTAGGATGCAAGTTTTTAGTCATGAAAGCTTCAGTATAAATTTTCCCCATCACAATACCCAACTGACAACTTGTCAGGAAATATGCTACATTTGAGACAGTTGGGCCACTTGACTGTAAATTGAAATAATAGAGCATTTATGAGTCTTATTCATAAACCCACCCTAAACATAGTCAAAAGTATGACTCTTGAAACATGGGATGCAACTACCAGCATCTAAAACCCAACTAGCGTACACTTCTTAAATGCTTGTGGGTAAATTCTCAAAGCAAGGTTAATGGAATTGTTCACAAGTAGTTTTACTTGCAGTATAACCAATCCCAAAGGAAAACAAATACATTTTTCATAGTGCCATTAGGAACACATTATTTGTTCTTGCAGTCCTGACTTTCTCCACCAATTTTTTTGTTTGCCCCTATAAGATCCGGCTCCCATCCTTAAACAAGTTACACATTTCAAGCCGGAGTGTGAATTACTTACCAAAACCTATTTCCCCATGCTATATGGTAAGTCTCTATTGAAACTAAGGCAGTGTTTATAAGCAGTTTATGATATGGAATGTCGATCTGCTGGCCAAGGAAGAAAAAGTGAAAAATTCCATTGGGTGTGTCCAAGACCTTGGGAATATGTAAAGTAGTTCTTTGAATCCTAGCCATCATGTTTCTGATTACTTATCACACGGATCATTATCATCATGTTCTCACTTTTCTAGACCTACTGCACATTTCTAGTTGTTATGAAAGGTGCACGGAATTTCATGTGAAGTCAGTAATCATATGGAGCTGCGGTCCATCAGTGGCTATTAGCCACAAGGTATAGGTAGGAACTCCTGGTCTGGGGCAAGTGATGCTCTGTCTTCTTGGTGCCTGGGGGGGGGGGGAACAGTGGGAGGGCTTCTAGTGTCCTGGCCCCACTGTTGGACCTCCTGATGGCACCTGGTATTTTTAGCCACTGTGTGACAGAGTGTTGGACTGGATGGGCCATTGGTCTGATCCAACTTTGGCTTCTCTTATGTTCTTATCCATGTAAGAAATGTTTGTATACATTATGGTAGGGAATCGGGATCACAGACCACAGAAAACATATTTTTGACTGCATTTCCATGATCAGGGTAATTGTGTGTTCCAGTCCTGGCTTGGGTTGCCAACGTTCAGGCGGTGACTGGAGAACTCTTAGGATTTACAACTGATCACCTGGAGAAAATGGCTGCTTTGGAAAGCGGACTCTATGGCATTATACCTCAAGGCCCTCCCCTCCCCAAACCTGCCTACCTCCACTATCCAAATCTCCAGATCTTTCCCAACCTGGAGCAGGCAGTCCTGGCTCTTTAAAAAACATTTATTTTTGCAGATTTTTGTGACAGTAGCAGGATCTGAAAGTCTTTTTTTTTTCCTTCAGAAAAAAGTATAATTTATATTTTTATCCTTTGAATTTATTTTTATTTCTGTTGGGGGGGAAATGAAGTACCTACTACTGAAAATGAAAATGTGTGGTGGTAAGTGTAGGTTTGCTCAGCTAGAGGACTGACAGGAGACAGAATTCACAATAAACTAAGAAGAAAGGGGCTGATAAAAAGATATACAGAAAGGACAGAGACATGAAGAAGACTGAAGAAAGAAGGGAGCTGAGAAAAGAATGGAAAAGTAAATAGAAACTAGAGGGGAGTCTGTTGATGAGATATCTATACTGTTGATAGAGAAGGAAACCAGGCAGGAAAGGTATGGAGACACGAAGAAGTGGACAAGGGCAATGTGAATAGTGGGAGTGGGCTATTTTTTCCAGGACGATCAGTTGGAGAACCCTGGCTACGCATCTCTAGTGAAACAGGAAGTGCGAAAGGTGGGATCAAAACTGAAATAATGGTGATAGATTTAATTCATACCTCTTTCTTTCTAAAACTGTATTCAGTCTATAGTCTATCCATTACAGAGCTAATCCAGAAAAACGAGACAGTACGAATGATAAATACTGTGACACGTTATATGTTTAGAATAAAATAATTTAACTTTAGATGACAATAGAAATGCTATGGCAGAAAATCTGATTAATGTGCAGTCTTACAAAAAAAGAACAACAACCAGTAACACAGAAACTTGCTTTTAGCACTGTTGCTGACCGAGAAACAGACTTTTTAAAAATCCCACTAAAATTAAAAGGTATAATATAAATATTCTGATCGGTGTCTTGACATTCATGCTGCTTAGCTCATTGTTGTGACTCTTCTTGAGTTAATTTTTTTAAAAAAGTCCATCAGGATAGATACTTTTGATCCAGAAAAAACACCAAGGCTTTTCTCAAACACTTCTATATCAGGACAATCTCTACTGGATTGGTAGGATTCAGAATTCAGTGATCAATGTCAGATCCCCCCATGTGGTGGAATCCGGTATTTACCAAGTGTTGACAATTTGTAATTGTTCTTCAAGACATTGTTAATGACTGCTGCCCAAGAACAGGCAAGATGCTATGTGCAAAACCACCAGTTTTGCCAGGGGCAGGGGATAGGATATCCTGTCACAGCACACCATGATACACTATGCACGCATGGTGAAATCACAGTTCTCCAGTTGTGAAAAGCATATGAGTTAAGACTGGAAATAGTGAGCCATGGCCTTAACGCCCTGACCTGGATAGCCTGATCTCGTCAGATCTCGGAAGCTAAGCAGGGTTGGCCTTGGTCAGTATTTGGAAGGGATATACAAGGAATATCAAGGTTGTGACTCAGAGGCAGGCAATGGCAAACCACCTCTGAACATCGCTTGCCTTGGAAACCTCACGGAGTCACCATAAATAGGCTGTGACTTGATGGCAAGAGAAAAAAGACATGTCATAATACTATAAACACAGCCACCACAACCATAATCCATTATGTTTACATATCTTTAGTCAGGGGTCTTGTTGTAGAAAAAGAGCTGCCGGAGCTCATTAGCATAACTCATTAGCATAACTTATTTGCATATGCCACGCCCCCTGACATCACCGGAAGTGACAGAAGGCCACACCCCCTGACATCACCGGAAGTGTGTCAGAAGGCCCGGCTACTTACCCTCCTGCTTCATCCTCATTCCCAAACGGAATGAGGATCGAAGCAGAGGGCGGGGTAAAGAAGGGGGCGGGGCTTCACCACGTGACCGCCCCGCCCCCTAGAGGTTCTCTTCCGGAGCTCCGTACCTGAGAGCTCCCCCCCGACTAGAGCCCTGTCTTTAGTTGTCCTTCTGAATCTACCTGCTGAAGTCCTAAAATTAGATCTGTCTAACAAGCTGGTTTGACCGCTGATATAATATATAAAGTACCATTAGTTTGGAAGACTTCAGGTCCTGGCCCAATGCCAAGACAAATTACACTAGAGGAAGCACATTATATTTAAAGACTAGGCCAATCACAGGATTGAGGCAAACAGATGGGTAAGCAGAACCTTTTTTCCTACTAAAAATGGTTCCTTATGGTATCCTTCCTACCCTGTTTCCCCGAAAATAAGACCTACCCCAAAAATAAGCCCTAGCAGGATTTCTATGCATTTGTGGTATAAGCCCTAGTGTGTCTTCTTGAGAAAAAATAAATATAAGACAGAGTCTTATTTTCGGGAAAACACGGAAGTTGAAACAGGGCAGGGTTACTAATATTTGTACTGTATAGCTTTGTTCCAGTGAGCGTGCCCAGCGTCATGACGTCACATCCGGGCAGCGCTCAGGACGCCGGGCAGGAGCCCCCCACCTCCAGGTAAAAAAGATTTGGCAACCCTACTTTCCCCAGACTATTTCCTCTTTCTTTTCTCCTAGCAGTCTCTATAAACTCTCCCCTTCCCTGCTTCCTTCTCACCTTTCCACCCAACAACCAGCCTTTTTGAATCAGCACTCAGTTTTCAACTTTATTATTTATTTACTTCATTTATGCCCCACCTATGGGGATTCAAAGCAGCTTATATCATTCTTCTCTCCTCCACTTTATACTCACAACAATGCTGTGAGGTAGATTAGGATGAGAAATAGTGAGTGTCCTATGGTCACGCTTCAGATTATTATCTTCGTTTCAGATATCTTCTTCCAGAATATCATAATATTGTAAAACATCAAGTTCAGAATATCTGAGTTCTTCAGTCAGCTTCTACATTCATTCCAAATTGTTGCAAAGTACTGAAAGAATGGTATAAAGTTTCACACAGCGGGCTACCAGTTCATAATTCCAGTCTCTGGATGTAAATATCCACTAGGGTTACCAGGTCCCAGCAGAGGTTCCTACACATTGGGGGGCTTTGATCCACCACCAGCCAGCTGGCCAGTGGGGGAAAACCCACCCCCAAACAAGGACATTGTTGCACAGTGTCTCCATTGTGATGACATCACTTCCAGGGATGTTGCATGGCAACACTTTAGTTTTTGGGCAAACTGTATGATTTTGTAGGCAAAAAACCCATAGAGTT